AGAGAGAGAAAGAGAGAGAGAGAAAGAGAGAGAGAGAGAGAGAGAGAGAGAGAGAGAGAGAGAGAGAGAGAGAGAGTGAGAGCCGATATGCACACATAGCAGCGACAAGGATGATATCATAAGGAGAAACACGAAAATAGTCAGTTTTTTCGTGTTCGCGAAAAGACGTTAATGAGACATTAACATCTCGGGCGTTTCCCCTCTCCCCCTCTCTTTCTCTCTCTTGGCCGGTGCGAACACGAGCATTCGCGCGACGCTAATTACGTGACGTCCTCGATGGCTGTGTTCCAAGGAGAGATTTTTTACAGTCGACCGGAGATCGATGCGATTACCTGGGTCTCATGAGCTGAGAGACGTAGGAGGAAGACTCGTTCGTATCTCATTTTCGTACGCGCGCACTCATGTATAAGGTGTCTGTCATGGAAATTTCGCAGCTATAGCGTCGTAACTGCAGAAGAATATATCAGAAAATGAGCTGAGGCAAGTAACGATTACCGTCCCTACTCGAATTCAGCCTGTATGCTAAATTGCTCTTCCCGCAAGATAGATGGTTCGGGGAATAGGGACGCCGATGGCGACTGGGGGAAACATCCCCCTGCGCTTTTTTTCCAGGAAAGTCGCCGCGTAAACGGGGGTTGTACGTGACACCATAGGGTACAACATGCGAATGGCCCGAGTCTAACATGTTCGTAACCTCAACAACGAGAACAAAGAAGGATCGATATCCACGACGCCAGGGGTTGGAAGTAGTGGTGGTGGTGGTGGTGGTAGTGGTGGTGGTTGAAGCGGTGATAGTAGTAGTAGTAGTAGTAGTAGTGGTGCTGGTAGTGGTGCGTTTCGTGTTTCGTTTCTCATTTCCGCGGAGGACAATGCACTCGGCGATGCAAGGATCGAATAGTCGATAAGCGGCGGCGATTTTAGCAACGGAAGCTACCTCGACGTTAGTCCGTCTCATCGATTTGCGTGGCACATGTACCCGACAATAACGCAGAACCGCCTTCTCGCCCGAGGGAAGACTTGACGAGGGGAGACTTGACGAGGGGAGGAGGCCGCGCCAGAATTTGCAGAAAACGCCGAATACGCGTCTGCAAATTCTCAGGAAGGGGCTTTATCGATCCACGGCCAGCCGTGGAATACGGTGGTGCCCAGAGCACGGGCCTAAAAGTTGCGGAGAAGCCCACGAATCTCAGAGAAGAGAGAAGCGTGAAAGAATGTCGAGGGTGAGGAATTTATCCACTGACAGACGTGAACAGAAAAGCGAAAATCGAAGGTAACAAATTCCGTTGGAATCTCATCGCGGAAAACGGACTGCGTCAAAGTAAGTCCCGAGGTGGGGAAAATGTCAACCGCGGAGAATTCTAGATGATGATAGTGGATGAAAGGGGAAGCACCTTGAAACCTGGAACACGTTGTATATGTCTAAGCTGAGAGAAGGTATAGCCGGTAACGATACTCGAGGGAGCTCCTCGAGACGCGGAGCGGGCGCCGAACACGGTCGAACGTGCTGAAGCGTAGACTGCGAAAGCCTTAGGCCTTTCACGGAACGTGGTCTTTCAAGACTAGGGTCATCTATAACCCTGGCCATTGGATTCTTATCGATCTGTTCGTGCTGAATTTTTCAGTGGGCATGCCGGGTTGATTGACCGCCGGCCGGATCCCACGGAGTCTATGTCGTTCGTGATTCCGGAATGTACCGTGAATTTCGATCCTGTCGATTCTCTTCGACACCTTGTTCGAAAGATCAAGAGGAATGGAGGTATCTGGCCCGCTCAGAGGAGAGATAATGTCCGCTTCCTCCGCTCTTGCCGCGGGTTCAGCTTCGCTCGGTTTCGTTCGTATGTCTTGCCAAATGTATTCCGAAATCGAACACAGCTGAACGTGATCGTGAAAGGTCACGGTGCTATCTTCAAGATGAGTCAGAGAATGTTTCTGCCTTACATAAATCATCCTATCGATCCTGAAATTGCATTCCGACCGCCGAATATGTTATATTGTTCTGTCTACAGTTCACCTAACTGGTGTTGTTGTTTCTCCGAATATACTTCGTCATTTTACTTCGCGTCGTTTACAGAGAGGTTCCCGATCAAGCGTTCCTTTTGCCAAAATCAGCCTGTCGTATCACGTCGTTGCGAGAAACCAAACAGTCGCAGAATCACTTTGATGGAATCCAATCGCAAATTTGATTGAGTGGTCTCTCCCTCTATGTTTTCGTTAGTTTGAAAAGTCTTTCGTGAGACATTCAGTGGAAGTTACGGCAAAAAGGGGTTGGTGAAGGTTGGTGGCGGCCTAATGAGCGTTAAAAACGGCAGACGGAATTTCCTCTTTGAGGACGTGCAATTTGGCCAGCTCGCGAAACTCAAGTTTGGCCGACAAGTTTCACGAAGTTGCACGAGTTTCGCCAGGCCGAACTTCCTGGTGGAGACAAGACGAGAGATGTAAGATATTCCCGATTGCTGTACCGGAACAAACTCGCGCGGTACGCTAATTTCGTAATAAGCGATCTTTCCAAGACATCAAGAAGCGCGCAACAGAGAAATCTCTACGTTTCACGACCCGTCGAGCGGTGACGGAATAAAACCAGCACGAAAGTGGATCGGTCGGCCCCACTAAATATTTCCGTCTCCACGGCGCACGCCATAGTTTCTTCTTAGCCTTTCCTCAATCTGTCACTCGTAATTTTTAACATAAGCACTTCCCTTCGCCGAAAGGCGCATCGTTCTTGAGACTCCCTCATCGATTACCCAAAATAGGAAATAAATAGAGTACCTTGGCCTTGAAATTTACATATCTCGAAGAGGGGGGCGCATGGAAAATAGCACGAAAATTGCCGGTTGTTTCTACGATCATTAGGCTTCTTATTCCCCCGTCATTCTACTTTACATTTCTTATTACTTTTTTTCGTCTTCGTCGCTCGCATACACATATACACGCACATAAGAGCATATCATTCGCGATCATAGAAATAAAGTTGCAGCAGAGTCAATTAATGGATTTATTTTTAACCGATCGGCATTGCGTGCTGGGACTTTTATGTAACTCCTCGTGCTCGTAAAAGATACACAAAGGCACAACACTCGACGGTACAAGTCAACATCGTTAAACTCTCATCGTCGGTGCTCTTGCGAACGCGAGTTCGTTATCAGGCGTATCGTTTTTCATGCAAAAACGTTCTCGAAATATCGCATGCGAGGTTCACGTTGCACCACCGTGAAACAACCTCGGCCGTGTGTACATTCGCCGCCATGAGAGCGCGCAAATACAGTCGTGTTGTATTATCATTACTCATATATGGTTGATAATTAAAACGGGAGTTGGAACGATGAACAACGCGCCTCTCTATCTGTCACGAGATCACGCTGCTTATGTCAGCGACATTTAAACGCGACGCACGAGCTGTTTTCCGAATCGAAATTTCCATTCCACACCACTGCAACTATCATCAAATTCAAAGGATCACTCGGAAAATTGAAATTTAGATTTTGGACATTAAGCCTGTAAATATCGTCGAACTTTTAGGCCAATAAAGAATCTCGAGATACCTTTATACAGACTATCGTGCTCCTGATGCTACAAATCGCATAGCTTATTGTCATTTTCTTTATGTGGAGATTTAAAAAAAGACGTGCTGAGAGTATTTAACAGGGAAAAATATCTCATTGATTTTGATAAATTTTGTTGACTTTAAGTAAATTTAATCATTGAAATGATAAAAAAATTTTATCGATTCAAGATAATCGAATATTAAATAATTCTCAAATGAGTACTTCTAGAATGCCTCAGCAAAACGAACAGAAGGATACCTCAAGTTTGTTGGGTCCTTCAAGTTGGACAATATAGAGTTAATGTAATAGAATCAGAATTACGACTCAGATTTTCTCGCGAACTTGTCGCATTTCGTTCGCTCTATGGCAACGTCGAACGTACCGCGTTCCATCGCGCGTACGTTGTTTATTCGCTACTTCAGAACAAAAATATTTGCATTGTCACTTCAGCGACGCTCCGAAGGAAAGCGGGGAAGTCGATCGAGCCGCGGCCTGTTTACAGGAAGTACTGAAAACGACGAAGACGCAAACCAATTCCGTTTCGCGAGCGTATTTAGTGCCGTGATGCCGCAAGAACGCTTCGGCACTCACTCCCCTCGGCCGAATCTCATTCGAGACAGCGAATCTCGGCGGAAGCGATGGTCGCGCGGAGGGCCGTCTTCTCGTTTCTCAATCTGGTTCATCCAAATCGAAGTTGCCGCGCGTCGATCCTCATTTCCTGAACTTGTGTCTCGTTACATTCGTGGCGAACGGCGGTCGCGCGTTCGTACGCAGGTAGTACTTCCCTCGATACTTGGGGTTGGCCAAGAAACCCATGTAAACCTCGGGCTTCCACACGCAATTCGCCAAGATATCGGCTCGCCATCTCGGGCAGTGACTCGCGGGAAATCCATACGGGTTATCCAATGATTCCGAGTAGTAACGCCAGGCTCGATTATGGCCGCAGGTAACTAAACGGAGAACGAAAATACTCCTTAGTGAGAATATTCTGGAAACGGAATGCGGAAAGTCTTCTCACAAAAGTCAGTGCTGAAGGAGTAGAGGGTGAGTAGAGGGTGGAATTCTCGCGCGCCTGTAACGGCGCGTCGTAATGAGTCACTCACTGTATTGATTGATGAGCCGCCTGAAGCCCATGCGAACGATACTCCTCAAATCACAGCCGGGTTGTCGCCTGCTGCCACCGTTCGGATAAAAATCGACGTGGCCGAGGGGATTGGGAAATCCGAAATGGCCGCCGTCGGTATGAATAACGTCGACGAAGGTCGCGTCGGCCCACGTCAGGTGACCCTCGTCCCCGGTATCCATGTACAGCGGATAAGCCGGGTCCAGTCCGGTGATTCTGCCTATCTAAAAGCGCGCTTATCAGCGTACGATTCCCCAACATTCCGGCCGTTTTGGCTAACGCGTCTCGCGATTGTCGCTAATGCGCTTCCAATAATGCATCGCATTAGCAGAGCGCGAATGTGCAGTACACGAACAGATAGAAGAGCATGTGTGTGTGTATGTGGCTGGCAAATTTTATTAGCGGATTTTACGACCTTACCTTCCGAGGTGCCAGAGCCTTCCCCATGAAACCGGCAGCTTCCGCGCCCAAGCTGAAGCCGATCACATGAATTTTGGATAAAGGGACGGCTTCTTGTGCGTCGAGCCAACTCATCATGTAGGCTAAGTAAGATCCAACGACTTTGGCATTCTTTACCGCCGTTATATACCACGGTAAAACCGCCAGCCGGGCCCAGTCCACCAGTATCACGTTGTAGGGCCCGCGACGAAGATAGGCTGAAACAAAACGACGGACGTAATTCATTTTTATCTTATTTTTATTTTTTATTTATTTTTTTTTTTAGCAAACGACTCAACCATAGAGCAAGTGTTCTTCTAAAAACGAAGGAAAAATGCGGACAAAGCCATCCATTCGTGAAACGCTCGTTTCGTCTAACAATAATAAAACGCAAATGCATGGCGTTTCTAAAATAAAAAAAAATAAGAAATAGGGTTTTTTAAAAAGTAATACATAAACAATGCGGCTTCCTTGGGCGAGTTGAATTAGATCGACTCGCGTGGCGAGGAGCGGAAAAGTTGACGATTTATTGTGACAAGTTATGGTAGCGCTTGCTATTCGTCGCCCTGACAGAACCTCTTGAGATTTCGAGGAGCACTCGTAAATCTTGTAGTTACTAATGGATTCAACCAACTCGCTCACACCGAGTCGTATGCCCGCGCGAACCTTTCCCTCGGAGAAAGAAACGACATGGTTGCGGTGACTACCGAGCAGCTGCTGCTTTATTCAGAGCATTGCGCGCTGTGCAATATCGCGCGCGCGTCTATCGAAAAAAAAAAAAAAATAGAAAAAAAACAGTTGAAAACTTCACTCACATATTTATTATCGCGCCCGAAGTGCTCAGCGAAGTGAGCTGAAATTCATTTCCGTCGGAGACACTTTCCGGTGACTGTCGAACTTCAATTCCGAACCAGCCGAAGGGAAGATCTAACTTTTTTCATGCATGTCGAAGTATGCTAACGAGTTTGCTGAAACGTTTTACTTCCTACGCGGATGAACGCGAACGCTTTTCCCGCCATTGACCTCTCCGCGAGTGTGCGAGGTCCCATGTAGAATTTTACGATCGAGCCTTCCTCCGGGCGTTACTAAAAGTTACATTTTTTTTTATATCGATCTGATACTGGCCCAAGTTAAAGTTAGATTACAGTCGAGTGGTAACTTGGATCTGTGACACCGATAATTATTCTCAATCGATTATTCTCAACTGTATACATCAATTGAAAGAAACTTTTTCGCGTAATACTCGACATTGGTTGGCACAATATGGACCCAAGTCTCGAAATTACGTAGAAATGTTTGTGTAGAACATCTCGAACAAAGTAATACACGAAATTCCGTATTTTGTGCGGTAAAATCGTCTGATACTCTTCATTTCCTTATTTAATATTATGATTCTTCTGTATACTGAGAAAAAAATACTTGAAAATTTCTCTGTGTTTATGTATATATGTATGTGTGCGTAGGATAAAAGTTTATTTCACAGAAATAAACTTTATTTCGCACAAATAAACTTTATATCTCACACATAAATTTTCCAAGTATTTTATTCTTAGTACATAACGATTTATCGTCTACGTCACGTGTTGTAATCATACACGTGTCATAAGAAGAGCACACGCGATGCGTGTGAGTACGCGAGACGCCGACAACAGTGGCGTTTGTTTCATGTTCGTGCGCCGATTTTTTATCAGATTACGGCTGTTAGAAAAACGCGAAGTTTGCAAAAGCGTCGCATCGGTACTATGCTATAGTGCGTTCACTCCTCGCATTTAGCACCTTTCGCCCTTCTCTAGCTGATGACTTGAACTCGACTCAAGAGAGCGGCACGTAGCATTGTTCTAGGCCTCAGCTCCACTTTGGCGATTCGCCGCTTGTCGATAATTCCGCGTGGAAAAGTCGTAGCGACGTCAAAGAAAGTTGCATTCGAAAGCTAAGACTCTATCCCGATTCCGTCGAGAGGACAAACGTTTCTTGTGTAAACAATTAATTTTGAAGCTACAATTAAAGACGCAATTTCGACTTTGATTCGAGCGATTATTCTGAAGTAAATGAATCTCGTTATAGAGAGCATTATTTCCGCGTTTGCGTTATAGGATGAATTATCTCGTAATTAAATTTTCATGAGATGTTTCAGTTTCGCATATATATGCTGTATATAAATACATAGTCATTTACCACGGTCTAATTTGGCGGCGAAACAATTATTCGATTATGGCAATCTCACTGAAGTTGAACGACACGAAGAGATCGCTTGAAAAATTACAAGGCACGTTGCATAAGTGGGCGATCAAACTATTTGCCGACGATGATCTCAGCAGAAAAGGGATTCTTGATCAATGATTAACAGTCACCGGTTGGCCAAGCGTTGGCTTCGTTGTGCTGTCGACGTTCGGCTGTCTCCTACAGTGGACGCTCGTTGATTTTAGATAAATATTATTTGAAGTAACGTACCGTTTCGTACAGTGATCGGGCCGGTTCCGTCAGCGCTGTCGCTGTATCCGTGAATGTACACGACGGTCGGGTGTTTAACGTTGAAGTTACTGCTCCACAACGTCGTGATGTCGCCCGGATTCAGTAGAGCGGGATACGTGGGATTCTTCCTGCCGTGGTTCAATGCGAAACGCAAGAAAAATGTCGCTATGAGCAAAATGTGCGGAATTTAATACGATCAACGGCGTTGGGCACGTTGATTTACGGATGAGACCCGAGAACTAGTTCCGGGGCATCGATTAATAATTAATTACGACCGGATGGCCGAATAGTTCGGCCAACTTTCGGCCGATGGACTGATAGATTAACGAAAATTTCCGGTCAATTAAGAGCGCTCGGTCCCGTGAGCAATATCTAAGTGTGCCAACTAAGTCGCGGCCGAAGCTGCTTGAGGGCACATTACTGCGCGGCATTGTAATTCTGAAGCGCACGAGAAATGCTGATACCTGGTATACAATTGAAATTGGACGTCCCGATTCAACTGGATGGGGCAGCAATAGAAACACGTGCCGGTGGGAAGTGGAGTCAGATACAGTGTCGAGTCCCCTGATGAGAAAAGCAGAAGTACATGACAACACCTTCGTCATCGTCGTCTTCGGCGAGGCTTGAACCGACAAATTCCGCGATCTCGCTCGCTCGTTCGACCCAATATACGAGACCTGAGCGGTATCGAAAAAATAATTGGCGGAAATGCGCGGCCCAATCTTGCCGAGTGTTTTATCGGGTCGAACGTCTCGCTAATCGTTTTGTCGATACTGCCATTACTTCTCCGGCCGCGGCCGATTAATTTATATTCAATACTGCATGAGAGAGACTTTAGTTGAAGGATAACGAACGGCTTAAGTTCCGCTCCGCGGGCGCCCCGCGCTCCCTTTGATACTTCCATCCTTTAACTGAATCGATTGGACGGCACGAGGCCCGCGAAAAAAGACGCCGCGACTAATGCGTCATTTATTTCCAACAGCTACGCCGTGCTGTAGCTCACCCCGTGCGTTTCGTTCGCCGTAATAAATGTATGGTGCATAATGCCGTCGACGGCGACGCCCGGCCTCGACCAATCGTTGCGGTCGTCGTCATTGAACCTGACGATGGTCACGTTATGTCGCGTGTCGTGCAGCCGACGGTGCGATCGACAGTGCGCGATATTCATCCTGTCGAAAGAATCCCTCCGCTTCCCCACGTCGCGGAACACCAGGGGGATGCATTGTTATGCAACTTCGCGCGCGCGCGCGCGCGCACAAACACGCGAAAATGCATTTATCTAAAATGTAGATATTTTCCATACTCCCGAGATCGTCTAGATTAGCGCACGATACGTTCAAGTCTGCTGTTTTTTTGTTCAGCGATTGAACGAAGTGTCGTTACATCTAAAGCCGATTAACACTTGAACGATGTGAAATTCTACAGTAATGGCAATACAGGACTGTGTATGCACCGAGCGAAGGGCGTCACGACTTTCCGGTTACGAGGAGGCAGTAATTCCGGCAGGGAACGCCGATCCGCACGGCGTATTCGGCCGCGTGTATCGACGTGACGCCAAGAGGAAACGCGGAGGTAATCCGCCTTTTCATCTACTTCGGCAACGCACGTGATGCCGTGTCCCGTCGCAATTAAGCTCGCGCACATAACATACGTGGTTAAGTGGCCGTCGAGCGAGCGAGCTCATGCGGTTGTTCGCGCTCCGCGATCCCTTCAATCTTATGCTTGGAGAGTGGCAACGCGTCGAACGGCTTCTGTGTGCGAAAACACGAAATCGTGTACCATTTTTTATTATTTCGCGATGCGGAGCGCTTTTCACGAGCGCCCAGCACGTTGTGGAAACGCTGCGGTGTGTTTGCGCGAAACGTCGGCGAAACTAGGAATCAATGCGCTTGTTCAAATCTTTGTTCCATGGTTCTGGTTGCGTTGACTTCAATCAGTTACCTGGTTTATGCAAGGCGACGTTACCTGGTCCTAATTATTAATAATCCTCATTATTAACTAACTGAAACTGCCCGGCGTTGCCCGGGTTATCGCATCAAGGGAATAAAAGTAGAAGTAGGGGGTGAGATGCCTATGTAGACTATATTTTCCGCAGAGGGTCCTAGAGAATAAATATGCAAAACTTGATCCAGTTTGGGTCAAAATGTATATAAAATAAACCTAAAATTTAAATAGCTTTAATATCTGAGCTTTTTTGTTTTGTCGCTGGTTTGTTTTGGGTACGACTACTAATATTGAACATATTATTTCTGAATATGCACGGAGAAAAATAATTTGCTGACCCAGTAAATTTTCTGCTGGTCTAGCAAAATCTTTTCGTTATTATATGGACGCCAAAAAGATTTGCTAAGAGTACTAATCACTATTTGCTGGATATAATTTGCTGAATCTGCAAATTATTTTGCTATAAAAATCATAATGGATTTATATAAGCAGTTTTGTTCCGATAGCAAATAAATTTGCTAAAGATACATTATTTTGCATCAATAGCAAATTAATATGATTCTTAGGGCAAATACATTCAACAAATTTTTTTTATCCTGGCAACGAAATTACTTCTGCTCTGATAACGAATAATTTGTAAAATTAGTTACGTCAACTAAATTTTTTTGATATCACTATGAATATGCAACGACGATTTTGCTAAAAGAGCAAAATTATTTTTCTCCGTGTGATTATAAATTACAATCTTTTAATTCTGATGTTAATTTTATTATTGTGTTTATTTTCATATTAATATTGTGTATTTTATTTTTGTCACATATACAGGATATCTCATTTGAAACAGGCCAATCGAATATCTCAAATACATACATAAATACGCGCGTGTATCATTGATAACAATTAGTAAAATTGCATTTTTCACTGTTAAATAACTCCTAAATTATTGGACTTACATGTTTACACTTAAATTAGGCCATACATGTTTTAAGGATTTTGTATACAGAATTGAGTGATTTTTTTCGAATCTATTATAAAAAGTGACTTTTATTTATAAACAAGACTTTGACGAGTGACTGTAGTTAAAATTCGAGATCATTGTCTTTTTTCGCCTCAAAACCCTAAAAATTTTATCTAAAATAGTATTATCTGCCGGGCTCAGTTTCTGAGATATCCCTGGCCTGTCTAAAATAAGACACTTTCTATAATTCTTGATTATTGCATTTAGAGGCGCGTTTTAGAGAATTTGTTACTAGAGGAATGACGTTTTCTCTTTTTCTATTATACGAATCAGGCAATTGATTGGCATCAATCTGATCAGAACTATGGGATAATTTCTACGACGCGAAACAAGAAGGAGACGAAAAACGGTCGCGGATAATAAAAGGAGGATTAATCTTAACGGTTGGTGAAAGTCCGCTCGAGTGCTCATGGCTCGAGACGAGCGACGTATTGTACAATTACGCAACGAGATTATGCACCTTTTCGAGTGACCCTCTAAAAAAATGGGTCATGGTGTAACACTTTCGCCGTGATATTTATAGTGTTTTTTTCGTGCATGCTTCGTCCGACAGAGTGTACTACCTTGGCGAAACTCGTGGCTGGTATGTTATGTCAGCGCGAGGATTACTCGAACCGGGCGTGAGTCGCGGCTTCGTGCAGCTTGGCGAGACGAAGAAGTGTTATCTGTTCTGACAGACTGACGCTCAGGTGAAAGAGGTATCGAACAGAAGTGAATGATACAAAGAAATCAGGCTATCTGAATATCGGTCATCGCGCAGTTCGCGCGGACAACCGTTACGACGAAGAATTCACTTTTTTTCACCATAATCGTCATTACTATGCATTTGCCGTGCTGAATTTTCTTCGGTCCAGTAACGCTTCTGCGTCATTTGCGGTTTCAGCGGGGAGCGTATCTTCATACATACCACAGACACTCCTGGGGACTATACCGGAAGTGTCTGCGGTATCGTCTGGTCGGAAACAAAGAATACCGTATCTCTGCGAGCGTGATGCCGTCGCGGAGGAGGAAGAGAAGAAGGAGCGGAAGGAGAAGCACCGTCTGGAGATGGTGCGTCGAGCGCGTGTGACTACGTTGCTTTACACCTGAAAGATTAGGTCCGGTGAACTTGCGATTTTCTCTCGGCCTCGAGAGAATTAAACGTCATGATGCGTTGCAATAAGTAGTATCAAGTTTAAGGGGTCACCTCAAATCTGTCAACGCGCAACAGTCGCGTTAGATCTTCAATTTTAAGGTGAAAGCGTGGCGAGTCCTCGATACTACGCACCAGGATCGCAATCCCGATTACGACGACACGGGAAGAAAAAGAGTCTACGTTATGCTATTCTTGGGTGGAAAAAAGGTGTCTCGTCTCGTCTCGCGTAGGAGCACACGTGACAACACAATACTCCGCCATATAGACGATCCATTGCACCGTACCAGTTTTCACGCAAGATGCGTTACGCGTTCTGATTACCTCATTTTGAATTGTATCAATACGCCACGTCGACATACTAGGTCACAGGCGTACACGTGAGACGAGAATGCGCAACGAGATGAGATAAGATGCGGTATTAACGGTTTAAATGTCTGCGACGATTAGCACGGCTAATCACTCAGGCGCGGCAAAGAGATTGGCCGTGTCGCGAAAACAGCGCACTCCCGTTGCATTCCGCGTTTGCCAGATTCGCGTTGCTCGCGCTATGAGCGTTCCCTCATTCGCTAATTACCGCGAACTCCACCATCTCTGCGCTGCTGCTCTTATTGCTCGACGCCGGCGTTATTAACGAAACAGAATCGCACTTGACACGATCGCGTAAACACGCGCGCGCTCGCCGGCTGCACGGTCGGTGCATGACAAATTGACGCGAACAATAGCGTGATCTAGTTCTGGTCCACTGACGGTTAACAGTTTTCCTGCGCGCACAGCGTTATTAAACGTGCAGTTTCAACGCTTAAATACGGCCGCAGTCGCTCCCTCCAATGAAAATAAACAATTTTGTATGCATTGGTAATTATTGTAAATTATACTGTTATTATAAATTAATACGCTGCAAATTGTGTTAGAAATATACTGTACTGAACATTAACGAGATACACCGACGTAATTAACGCTCACTGCACGCGCACGTTCAGCACTTTATCACGCACTCGGGAAGGATAACCGGGTTGCTCGCGGACAGAGGGAATCGAGGAGTCGGAATGATCGTGCGATTACTTTGCGCCGATCTGAATTTACCTCTTCGGAAAATGTACAAGTGACAGAGCATAGGCACGAGGAATGACGGGATTGACATTGTCGAGTGGCCAGGAGTCTCCCGAACGACGCGCCCCACCGACGAGTCTTTCGCAGCGGTATATCGTCTTATGCCGTATTCCAGAACAAACTGGCGGGAATCGACGCCAGCTGATCATTTTGTAGAGCTCTCGGTACCGTCATCTCGGCGAGCACGGCGCGGGCGTCACGATCTACTTTCCTCCCCCTTTTTACAGCACCGTGCGATTACATGCCGAGCGAAAATGGACATATTACGAAATTACTTTAATTGTGCGCTCGGTCGCTCGCTCAAGTCCCTTCGTCGAAAACCGCGCGCACCGTTGTGTCGTGAAGGAATTCTTATTTTCCCGTGGGTGCGTTTTTTTGTCTCGAAAACGAGCAGCGACCGCTTGCACGCTTGTAAAATAATAAATTCCTCTTGCGTGATTTATTTAAACTATTGTCTTCTTTAATTCATAGCGAATACAGATATTATATATCTGATATTATATATTAATATTATATATTAATTATATATTTTGTGCCCTGTTTCTCTCAAAATTCTCCAATAAAAATGACGATAAAGGGAAAATAAATCTAGATATGCTTATCAGAAATATAAAATTTGTCCTGAGGGGAATCGTGCAGTCATTATGAATCACCACTAAAAAGGTCAAACGCAAAACTTCAATATTTATGTGTATTCACGTGCTCACATGTGCTCACTGCACTTTCTTTATTATTAATAGTCCTTATTAATAAGGATACCTATCGCTACGCTGCGTCATATGATTTATCAGGATCCGATAACATCGCCTTGTACAAAGCGGATAACTGAATAAGATTATCCTGGTCAGGAGCGTGGGATAAATTTTTAATTGGAAATTAGCTCAATAATCAGAACGTTTCTTTCTCCCGCGAAAGAAATTCGGGCGAAATTGACTTACATAATGTTCTGACGAGAGGGACCTCTCTTCTGCTTGCAGGACAAGTTGTTGACGAAATTGGAGGAGAACGAGCCGGAGCTGGCATCCTCGCAGGAGGATGAGGTAAGGAACGAGTGGGTGAGGTGACAAGAAGAATGAATTCTCTCAGAACGACGCTCTCGACGAACATCGTCGAGCAGCTAATCGGCCATTTCGAAATAAAATTCTCAGTCGCAAAATTTCCCTTTCACGCGACCTCTCGAGAAGACTGCCGTCGCGATTCGGTCGGTTCGCTGAGAGAAGTCGTTTCCGCTTGGACTGGCATTCGACACGCTCGCTGCCTCTCTTCCTTAGTTAGTCCTGCACTTTCCTCTTTAAGGTTCCTTAAGGTTAACCTGATTGCACGAGGCTACTCACTTCGCGACGGACAATCAAGCTTAATTCGTAACTTCGCCGCGGGCCCGGTGATTGGCGAGCGAATGAAATTTCTTCTGTCTGCGGCCGGAAAAACGCGCTGCGTTCGAAGAGAACGAAACGGTGAAACGAGATGAAGTATTCTTTCCGCCGCCGGTGAGTTGCGAGCTGAGCAATCCCTACGCGAAAGCACAGATCGGAATTAGTCAGGCGAATGGAGCCTGATGAAAATTACGTTCACGAATAATGCGCGCCTAGAAACTCTCTCGCCGTGTGAATTCTGAAAATGGTCCTCGCGGAGAACTCCACGAAAATAGCCACTATGAAAAGAAAAGATACGAGAGGATTACGAAAGGTATGGAAATCACGAGAAATGAATGACCACGCGCGCTCTTTTCTTCTGGGGTCGCGGAAAATCCGATGGAATGTGCAATCGCCGCTCTGCGCATTACATCAGAAATGCCGTGTGTATAACTTTTCGATCGGTTAAGCCGCGCACTCTCTCGATTAGGCGTCGGGTCGCGCGATAAAGTAAACGACGATAACGGAGCAGCCTGCTGTATCGCGCAAAATATGGCCGTCCATCCGGAAGAGTCGCAATTTCCGAACGAATTGGTCGCCCAATCGGTCGCAAAAGTCGATTAACGGCGATGACAAAGTGGCGGTCGCAACCCTTCGACTCCTGACGTGTTCGCCCACCCTCGACGAGCTATTAATATTTCGATTAAAGCGACGCCTAATTACGTTACATCGGCGCAGCAATAGCGGCCGTCCCGATAGCATAAACAACAACGACGCCGGTGTCTCGCCTATCCGCAGGCTTTCATGAGACTGTACAAATATAAAAACGCAATATACAAATAGAACGAGAAGCGCGCGATCGACGTCGAATACAAAAGCGGCTACAGTCGCCCTCTGTGTATCTATTTCTCTTTTTCTCTCTCTATTTCTCTCTCTTTCTCTCTCTTTCTGTCTCTGTCTCTTTCCTCCCTTTCTCCTATTTTCCTCTTTTTTCACTTTTTGTCGATCTTTTCCCGAGTAGTCAATATTCGACATCGTTTGTGCGATTGCCAATCAAGCTCTGTTCAATATTGTAGTGCGCGTCCGACAACTGCTTCGTTATTTTTTCAGTGCGTCATATGCGTAAACGCGAGGGCGACGATGCAAACGGCGCCATGCGGGCATCGAGTGGTGTGCAGGTAGGTAAAAGAATTTCAAGTGTGCCTCTTCCCGCGGAGACATTCTGCCGAAGGTATTTCGCATTTTTTCTTTTACTTTTCTTTCACACGGGAAAGCTGGGATAAGCACTTAATAATCATCTTCTCACGCGTCGCAGCGCGCCGTTAATTTCTTTTTCTCGTCAAAACACGTCTCGTGTGTCAAAAGAGGTTGTTTCTTTAATTCCTGAAGCTCGACAGTCGTATAAGCTCTCGTGACCGCCGTGTTTGCAGACGCTGCTTCGTCAAGACGATACAAATGGCGGTCTCTCAGAGGCTCTTGCCGCTGAGGTGCGTCATATGCAGAGCGAAGATTCTTCGTTTGAAGCAGACTCTCATCCCGCGTGACGTAAGTAATGATGTTCGATCACAGGAAGGATCTGTTCACTCTCGAGCGAATGCTCGAAAAAGCACGCTCGACCGTCAATTGCTTTTCTCTCTTCTGTCGTTTATATTTTCTTCTTCGCGTCTCCCGCGATGAAAAACTTGCCGTGAGGGCTTGTTCTATATCGACTACCGCCGTCGGCTCGTCGGGCGCGGTGTGAATTTCAGTTTCAGTTATAAACGCGTCGGTGAGACTCGCGCGTTTTCGCCGACGGGGCGATGTGAGCACGACAGTGATGAAAATCGCGCTGCTAATTGGAGCGAATTCACAAAGCCGTCGGCGCCTTTGCGGCCAATTCGGTTACCGCGTACACACGCGATGCACACACTCCGTGTGACACTCAAAGACCATTTTTACTAATCGAAACCGCTGGAAATATCGCCGTTCGCTCCACCGAGCTTCGGGGGAGCTCGCTCGTTGCCCGACGTTGCGCGATCGATCGCGTTTGGTAAATAACTAATCTCGAAAGAGAGTTCATTACTACTTCGTCAAATATAAAACACGTTGCACGCGGCAAAAGCAAACAACAACAACAAAAAAATAAGAGAGAAAAACGCTGTTTAGTTAGAGATTGATCGTAACACTGACAATTAGTATCCGGTAGAGTTTAGTCGGACATTAAAGTTTCACACGTCAATCATCGTGAACACCCCGGATGTATCTCGCTCGGGGAATTGCGAGTCGATCATGCACTGTGAGATTGTTTTGGTTTATAGTATTCGATGTCGGGTAAATCCTGGGTACTGCCGCAAAGCGCGTCAGAGTACAACATGGGCACGGGCGTCACCGCTGGTGTGTCCGGGCCCGGTGGCAGATGGGGAACCGGAAGCGTGCCAGCCTCTGCCTCTCTATACTCGATGGCCAGCGGCTCGTCCTCCATATCTGGTTCGTAGAAAACAAATCGCCGGGCGATCCGCGCTCTGTCCTTAAGGACTAGCCGGCAAATTATCGCATTCTCTCAATTCGCATCGCTCGCGCAGGAGTGTCTTCCGTCTCTTCGGCAACTTCCTCGTCCGCGGGTAGCACCGGGAGTTCCACGCTCGGCAAGCCTACGAGGGTACGGCAACCCACAGGCGCCACGCTCAGGCGTTCCCAGACGCAGTCGATGAAAATGCGGATTCAGGTTAGCGACTTGTCGATGTTGGTGTGTCGATGTAGATGTAGACTTTCAGAGGCGCGTCGCCGACGCCTCGTCCTCCCGTGGATAGACGCGATTCGTTTGTGTATCGTTTACCTCGCTGAGAACCTGCGTGTGTCCCCGGCCCGACGATGTACGCATACGATTGCTTATCGAAATTAACAGGAGTACCAGGACCCCGTTCAGCAAGTCAGCGAGGAGGAGGAGGTGATGCGGGAAAATCGGGAGCGTCGATTGCCGCCGATTAAAGAGTTCCAGAGGGACTACCGTGCCGGCAAGGCCTCCACCAGAATCAGGTAGCGACTTTGAACGATCCGGGCACTGACGGCTACGCATACTCTCGAGAGATCAGAGAGTTCGTGTAATGTGCGATTAACGGGTTCGCAGATGCGCTCAAAAGATCGTGACGCAGCTGGAAACGTCGCCGAGCCCGCGGGGCACATCTGGCGTCGTCAGCACGTCCTCGTCGTCGGCGTCGTCGTGCGGCCGCGCCGCGTCCAAGAGGCCGGCGTCGGCGCCGAAGATGTCGGTGGTCCAAGAGGTGCAGAAGTCGAAGAAAGAGAAGGAACGGGAGAAGGAGCGTGAGAAGGCGGAAAAGGCGCGGCAGAAGGAGGAAGAGAAGGCGGAGAAGACCAGGCAGAAGGAAGCGAAGAAGTTGGCGAAGGAGGAGAAGAAGCGCGCGAAGAAAGAGGCGAAAGCACGGCGGAAGGAAGCCGAGGAAGCCCTTCTCAGGGATGACAAGTAGGGATCTGATCGCGTAAAGGTCTCGAGAGTTCGATCTGTGTGGTACAGACGCGCCGGGGTGTCGTGGGGTTCACGGTGATGATTGACGGCGATTCCCGGCGTCCTGTACTTACGCGAAGAGAGATTGACGGATTGGACGTGGGACGAGTTACGGGCGAATTCGCGAGAGAGAGAGAGAGAGAGAGAGAGAGAGAGAGAGAGAGAGAGAGCGAGAGAGAGAGAGAGAGAGAGAATGTGTGTGTGTTTGTTCGAAGGCCTCTTGACAATTCCAGCTGCTACCTATCGACTAATAAAAATGGCCTAGCACAAAGTTTTCTGAGGAAGCAAACGCGTCGCGTGATTACAGTGATTCTGCCGTCGTCGAAAAAGTCGACGAGCACCGGGTATTTTTGTGGTTTGCGATTTGGACAGATTGAGTCCTGGGACAAAAGGCGACGTAACAGCCAGTCGTTTCGAGCGCGCTCCGTAACTCGCCCCGAGCCGTCTTCGGACCGTGGACTCGAGAGAGAGAGGGTGGTGTAAGAGGAAGGCAGTATACCTAAGAAAAATCTAGAAGCGGCCAAACTTAGTAACCCGTCATATCGAGTTATCGCGGACTAATACTATTATCGATAGAACAACTCGAGCGTAGCGCTATAATCTAGAATCCGAGCGAATTGTTTCGACCTTGCATTTTCCCTCGTCTCATCTCATCACGATTTTCTTTTCCTTCTCCCCCGCGTTGTTCCGAGATTACACCCTCGTCCTCTGTCCGTGCTGACGAGGGGATGCTCACTCATGTCATGGGATTTCGGTTCGGTTCAAGCTGGTAGCACGTTCATATTTCACGAGCGTACACTTTAGGATTAATAAAACCGACGCGCAAACGTGATCTCCATCGATTATACGGGAAGAACCATCGCGAGATATACTCGACCCTCACTCGCGCGACGAGCATCTTCATCGCGACGTTTAATCGCCAACCGCCAATTCGAGATAATCGATAATCCCGTTCCTCCAGTCAATTTAAACTAGCCACCGTGCCCCCCGCCTACACGACATCGGAAGGAAAACACTCGACTCTCGATCCTTACATCCCATCCCTACCTATTTCATTTCAATTCAGTGGAGAATCACGCGGAGTAAGACGCTCGCGAGGTAAAAACGACAATTTGTCGATCTCACTGACGTGACGGAGAGAGAGAGAGAGAGAGAGAGAGAGAGAGAGAGAGAGAGAGAGAGAGAGAGAGAGAGAGAGATCAGAGGGAAAAATTTATTCTAATCTCAGAAACGGAACGGAGAATTGTTCTCGAGAGAGACCTCAGGGTGATTCTGACGTGAAAATCTGACAAGATTGGCGGTTCTCTCTCGCCCTTGGAGATCTTCCCGTCGAATTGAGGAAAAAATAAAGAAAAGACGACGCAAGTGTGTTACTCCGCTGCCTCCCTGTTTCGCACTCCGCGTTAGATACTCCCACAATTGTCGTACGTTGTAAATACACTCACAGAGTATTTCACGAGCGAGCGTGAAGGACTTTTGTGCCGCGAGCAAAGTCGTATGTCGCGTACGAGGGTAGCCTAATAAGATCGATTTGTTAAAACGCGAGAGAATATACCTAATAACGAGATAGTCTTATATATAGTACAATATACATTTATAAAAAAAATATATATACATATTATAAATAGAGAGAAAGAGAGAGAAAGAGAGAGAGAGAGAAAGAGAGAGAGACAGAGCCGATTTTTGAAACGCAACGCGTGTCTCGTTACTGTTCGTGAATTCGTAGGCTCGTAGAAGAAACTCTTGTTATCGATTACTCTTCAGTTCGACCCTTTCTCTCGCTCGGTAATCCACGAGCGGCTACTACTACTACTACTACTACTACTACTACTACTACTACTACTACTACTACTACTACTACTACTACTACTACTACTACTACTACTACTACTACTACTACTACTACTACTACTACTACTACTACTACTACTACTACTACTACTACTACTACTACTACTACTACTACTACTACTACTACTACTACTACTACTACTACTACTACTACTACTACTACTACTACTACTACTACTACTACTACTACTACTACTACTACTACTACTACTACTACTACTACTACTACTACTACTACTACTACTACTACTACTACTACTACTACTACTACTACTACTACTACTACTACTACTACTACTACTACTACTACTACTACTACTACTACTACTACTACTACTACTACTACTACTACTACTACTACTACTACTACTACTACTACTACTACTACTACTACTACTACTACTACTACTACTACTACTACTACTACTACTACTACTACTACTACTACTACTACTACTACTACTACTACTACTACTACTACTACTACTACTACTACTACTACTACTACTACTACTACTACTACTATTATTACTACTACTACTACCTAACGAATCAAGCAATTAATTATGAATCGCTATATTCTACGGCGTTCAGTAGATTCCTCGTGATGGATTTAAAGAAAAAAAAAGAAGAAAAAAACGCAAAGTTACATGAGATTTACGCGTTGATAGCTTTAACATTAAACGACGAAAACCCCCGGTGCGTGCGTGTGTGTGCGTGCGTGCGTGCATGCGTGGTCGCGCACGCGTATACACACGCACGCGATGCGCAAACGATTCTTCGATCTTAGGATTCCGCCCCTGATCTCTCGATTGTCTATCGCCTTGCGAGTCTCCCGTAAAAAGCAGCCGAAAATCAAAAGCAATTTTTTTACGAAATCTGCACATGTCCAGATCAACTGCAAGTCTCGATATCAAAAGGATCGATGAGTACGGGAGGTGACTACACCGTGGATCTCTACTGGCGATCCACGGTGGGCCACCTCTCGCCGACGGGGAATTCAGCGTTATTTTATCGGCGTTTCAATAGCATTGACGGTTTAATAATAATGACAATACTTCTTTTGTAAACCAAAAGAGAGCGTGAGCACGTAAAAACTTTCGGACGCCACGAGCTGTCACGAGCTGTCACGTTACGATAGCGGTACGGGTGAGAAAGTCTCAAATGCCATTACTTATTCCTTGGTTATTCACTCTCGTGGGATCGAGCTCGATGCACAGTTTTTAACGCGAACGACAAAAAAGCATCAAACATCGGACAGTGGTTTCCAAATAAGTTGATTCTGTAAGTTGACTCACCGCGAGTGAAGGCGCGTCACTCGAAATACTATAGAGCTGTGAATCACGAACCATATCTGTGTGCGTGCATGAGTTTTTGCCTGTAAGCAAACATTATGATTGATTTGAAGAATGTACTTGAAATTATTAAGGTCAGTCAAAGAAGTTTAATTCTCAATGACATTTATGTTCTGCTACCAGAATGTTGGCAAAGGGAGACGGATGAAGCCTGCCATTAACTTGATTGATGAATAATTTTTCTATAAATTTCCATTTATTGCACTATACTTATAAAGCCAAGTATGACTAAACAATTGATCCGAACTATTCGACTGACGTAGTATAAATATTGGTATATCGGAATAAATCGCTGCTGGAATTTATTCAAGTCTTTTTGTGATCATTTATCACGTTGTAGCAAATGAAGTGACACAGTTATGGTTCGCCGATTTAGAAATCATGTTAGATGTGACGAGAGTGGGAACGAGCGTTGCCGGGAAACGACGATGGCGATGATATTCGACAAGAATTGGACGACGATTTTAATTGTACGTTAAAAGCGATCGCGCACATATCAGTAGTAATTAGTCGATTTTAATTAGCGTCCTCGTTTGGGCCGCATTGCGTCGCTCTAAGCAACCCAATTTTCGCCACTCTTACTGCTCGGGTGACATGAGCGTCGGCGGAGTAAAGTAATTATATGATACAATCACGAGCGACAATGAGGTTAATCCGACGACGCTACGAATTAGTGTGTAACGTTAACCGTCAATTATTACGCCCGTTGCATCGATCCCAACTGTGACGAGCCCGCGCGGCTTCCACAGCGTATTCAATAATCAAAATAAGCACACGATTGATGTGGATCCTTGACCGGTTCTGTAGGTACCTTGAGATGAAAATGAAGTCACTCTCAGACGAGTGTGAGCAAGGATCGCTAAGAGAGGGAGCGAAATAAATGTCCAATTAAATTCGATTGAAATTTTTTGTATCGACGGAATGATCCGAGAAAAGATCTTTCAAGGACTCAGCGGAGTCTTTGCGCGACGTCAAAGAAGGTATATTTTCAAACCAAAGTACCAAAGTGTCGAGGACCCGTCGTCGCAAATCATTGAGCATCTTAGAATTTAGGAGATTTTCCTCACCACTGCTCATACCCATACACAAGGGCGAGACTTTCTCGACGAATCCCGACGAGAGAGGAGGAGCTGTGAGCGCGAGCGCGATTATTATGGCGCGTAGAGAAAAGAGATCGGTTCAATTATACAAATCGTGACAATAAACGAATTAATCACGTTTTTGTTGAAGAAACGAAATTTCTGGTTCAAATTCGGTTCTAAGAACCAAAAATTCTATTCTCATTCAATTAAAATGAACTAAATTTTGTTCTAAGAATCAGAAGTTTCTTTTTCTTTCATCAAAATGAACCGGATTCACTTCTAAGAATCAAAAATTCCGTTTCTTTTAACCAAAATGAACCAAATTCACTTCCAAGAACCAGAAATTCCATTTCCTTCAATCACAATGAGCCAAATTTGGTTTTAAGGAAAGGTCTGTTTCCTTCGATCAAAGTGCTCTTGGTTCGTTTACCGTCACGCCAATTTAGCCAATCTTTTTTCTCGGTATGTGCTCTGGAGACGGGAGTGTTGCGAAAAAAGCGCGACGACGGGCGTCATCTCGCTCACCGTCGTCAAGTCAATTCTATCAAGCGCACCGTGTACACGCGCGGATGTTGTTAAGTTCGCGGACGACGACGGCCGTGGCGAATGTTTACACCGTCGACCTCCGTCGTCGTACATAGAGTAGGAATACGGCGACGGTGGGCGACTTTCGTGCGCGGCAAAAATCGATCCGATTCGATTTCTCAAAGTCACGCCAACGGGAAATGCCTACGTCCGCGACAAGATCGTATCGGGATAAAGCGCGGAGAGTAAAATTCGCGAGAGTCTCGTTGGAACGGATCTCGCGAGGCCGCGGATCTCCTCAACGTGACCGATTTGCCGATCCTTACGCGCGATAAACCCTCGACCGTAGTAGTAATCGAATTTGAGGAATACGCAGGTACGATCGTGTTGCGATGAGATCAATTTAATCTCAATGGGTGAATAATAAACGCGACAAATTGCATTAACGTGCGCGACGAAGAAGCAAAACGTCGACTCTATTTTTCATTGCTCGACTCGACAACGGTCGAAAAAGTGTGCGCAGAAATTATCACGCAGACACGAATTGAAGCTTCTATAGAGAAACCGAGCTGAACGCAAATTTCAAATGATATTTAATGCGACACACGTGCGCCGAGGTCATATTTGATCTCATCGCAGAAGTTGAGGGTCGATAACGGGGAGGCAAAAAGAAACACGTGTGAGGAGAAGAAAATAGCGTAATCGTTGGCAATAATATTCGATCTAAGGAGGATAAAACAATTGGTGTGCGTAGAGACGAAGAGGAAACGCGATTTCGTCTGTGCGATAGTACGAAACGCGTATATCACGGTTGTAGACGTAACGAAAGAACGACTTTATTGTACTTTATTATATACATATATATACATATATATGTAAGGCAGAATTTGTAGACACAGTTTATAATTAGGTCGACATCGGCACGGCGATCCTCGTCCCCTAGGAAGAACGAGGCCGCCGAGTGTCGACTCGAGTTTCAGCGTAATGCTCGCGTAACGACTTAACAAGAGAAATCCCACATTCTACCGTTTAACAGGCAATATCGAGAACTTTTTGCGTTAGTTGAGATTAGACGAGCAAGCTAAACGTTGCCTTCCGTTCGAGAGCCGACGGTGCTGTTTCATTTCTCTTCCTAAATTTCTCGCGACATTTTTCTTTCTTACCAAACTACCTACCTATCTACCTACTTACCTACCCTATTTACCGAAAGCGAAACGTGACGCCGTCTCGATCTGGGGAACCGAGTGTCAAAGTGAACGAGTTGCAAAAAAATCAAAAATGTCCGCGGCCAAGTGTGTCAAGGATATCGGGCGTAAATAACGTAGAGATAATTTCATGGCGACCTCACGCACCTCGATCGACGTTCGCGCAGATGGACGGACGGACACTCGTTGATCTCGTTGTATGCGAAGCTCATTGAACGACGATGATGACGACACCGGTGTCGTCAGTGAACAAAACGTTCGTATCGCAGCGGACGAGCGTCAACGAGCTGGACGACGAGTAACGTTTCCGTTTCACCTATATTGCGAGCTTTTTAGAAATTTTCAGGGCGTCGCCCTTTTCTTTCCTCTTCTCACGTGTATATGTATTCTTCTTCGACTGCATCTCGGATCTCATCGACTCGCGCTCGACTAAATAAAATGCGAGAAAATATGAAAAGGCTTGAGCGGTTGATTTTATCGAGTCTATTTTTAGTAGTTTTGTTCAAAGACTAACCGATGAAGAAAAAAAAGAGAAAGAAAGAAAGAGAGAGTGAACGAAACTTATAAAAGATTATATTACGCGATGTGTTGCGATCTGTAAGAACACAGATAATGGATATAAACAACAAATCAAATAAAACGTTACGATGAATGTTAGCTGAATTAGAATTATTTTACTCATTTTTCCGCCTTCGCCTCTCTCCTCCAAAATAGCATGTGGTTGCTATTCTATACGGTGGCGCTCTATATTGATTGCCAAGTGCCAAGTTACCGTATGTCGATTTCATTCGTGGTGAACGACTTCCTCTCTTCATGGTCTTGACCGACGCGTCTCGACTCAAGACGACTCACGTTACAGAGATCTCTGTTACCGTTCGACATAATTCTCTCAGTATATTTCATGCCGCATCTCAGCAGAGGCCGCGAAGACCGATATCCGTATTTCCTTTTACATGTATATATTTTTCGGATATTTGTTAACGAGTTTAAAGTGCGAAAGCAACAAAAAGATGAAGTGTCTCGTCGTCTACTTTGCCGTATATCTCTGCAAGTTTCTGGGTGCGACTGCAATTGAAGGTATTTAAACACAAGTCACAGTGTAATCGTTCACGCTTACATGTCATGTCTCATCGTAATGACTCATTGGACTATTATTCTCATAGTTCATAAAGCATCATGATGCGTTATCGCGACGTATAGTTCAAGGACACGAGACCGATCTTATCCAAACCGTGCGAAACAACGGGTGTACCTCCTTATCGACGAAAGTGACATGCAAAAATTTCTCGTTCTCATTAATTACAACTCAAAAATCCAACTTTACTTTCCGACAACAAAAACTCACTACCTCAATCGATTGCTATGTTTGCACAAATAATACCTGTCAAATAAGGAAAACGATTAAACGTGTCGTCGCTTTTGGTACAGACAGTCGGCATTGGCACGACCTGGCCGACAAAGAACTGGAAGAGTCTCTCTCGTATCGCTGGAACACGAAGAAAGCGAAAAATGTGATCCTTTTTTTGGGCGACGGGATGAGTGTGGATACCATAACGGCCAGTAGAATTTATCGCGCCGGTGAAACCAGTCGACTTGCATGGGAACATTTTCCCCATATCGGGATCCTGAAGGTCGACCCGTCCGGATTCTTATATTAGACTTGTCATTTTATATTAGACGTGACTCGTCATGTGCTTTATTTAATTGCGCGTATTTCAAGCGACAATATAGATAAATCTACCGAATATGTTGTTTATCGCAATGTAGACCTACAACACGAACAAACAAGTGGCAGACTCGGCTTCCACCGCCACCGCGCTCTTCGGAGGAGTCAAGACGAATTACGAGGTCGTCGGTGTGGACGCGCACGTGGAATTGGGAGATTGCGAGGCGAGCCTGAACGCGGATTATCATGTCGACTCGTTCATAACGTGGGCCCAAGCAGCCGGTAAAGCCACAGGTCAGTTTGAACAGCAACCAATAAAAGCAGAAAATTACATAAAGCAATTGAGCAGGCAAGGAAGAGCGCCAAGAGAAGCCGCATACGTTAGCGTTGTGAACTCACAGGCATTCCGGAATGTTGCGATAATGACGCTTGTCGGAAAATTTTACGTGACAAGTAGAACATAAAATCTTGCTTTACTTTCGATATCAAAGATACCCTCGGACTTGGTAGAATATTTACTTAGCGGTATGAATGATAACGTAATCAAATACAGGTTTCGTGACAACCACTCGAGTTACTCATGCAACTCCGGCGCCGCTTTACGCGCACAGCGCGAATCGCCGATGGGAATGCGAGTCGAAAATGCCGAAAAACGCCACCGGTTGCAAGGACATCGCCCGGCAACTGGTGGAGGATGACCCTGGGAAAAACATCCGAGTAAATAATAAAGAGAGACATTTTGCGCTACGCGAGGCAATATTCGCGCGTTTCAATTCGCAATTCTCCGCTAGGTGATCATGGGCGGCGGCAGACAGGTGATGAAGTCCAATGTGAGCGCGGACGAATTCGACCCGGTAGACTCTTGGGCCTGCTATCGGCGAGACGGTCGTGATCTTATCGATGAGTGGATCAGAGACAAGTCTGACCGTATGTTGGCTCACAGCGTAGTCCAAAATAACGAGGAACTGTCCCGCCTCGATATCGATAACGTAGATTACTTGCTTGGTATCTTCGCCAACGGCCACATCGAGATGGACTGGAAACGCAAGCGCGGTCCCAAGGGACAACCCAGCTTGGAGCAAATGACCACTGCAGCTTTGCGCATTCTTCAGAAGTCCCCGCAGGGATATTTCCTGATGGTAGTAGACCTCCCCTCGACTGTACGAGCCAAGTTGACCCGACACACACAGACACACAATCGCTCTTTCAGGTCGAAGGTGGTCTAATAGACTTCGCTCATCACCGAGGCCACGCCGCTCAAGCTCTCCTGGAGACCGTGCGATTTTCAGACGCCATCAACGCCACTCTTCGAATGATCGACACCGATGACACTCTTGTCATAGTCACCAGCGATCACTCGCATTCGATGAGCTTGAATGGAAACAGCGCTCGGGGCTCATCCATTCTAGGTAAACCCAACGCGCAGTGAATGCCCCATCAAGTGGACCTCGATTCTAATCCGACGTTATTTCACAGGGATCGCTCAGAGATCCAAGCACGACGGTATACCGTACACGACATTGTCCTACAGCACAGGTGGTCCGAATAACATCGCTTACACCGTGGGAGAAAAGGGCCAAGCTGTGAGAATAGATCCGTCCAAATCGAACACCAGCGATTTTACGTACAGCCAACAAGCCACGATCATAACGGACGAGGCTTATCATGGCGGTGGCGATGTGGCAGTGTACGCTATAGGTATCCACGATGTCTAATTAGATATTATAAAGCACCAAATAAGATCATGAAAATTGAAAGAATTAGGGAGCATTGCGTTGGAAAGCTTGTCACAGTATTGTCGCTCGATACTTATTATCTTTTGGAAAAAAGCTCGGCTTGACCCTCTCTAAAAATCTTACTTCTTCTTTGCAGGACCGTACGCGCATCTCTTCCACAGCGTGCACGAGCAGAACTACGTGGCGCACGTGATAGCATACGCCGCGAAAGTCGGGATGTACTCGAACTGCGCGGCGACGATGATGCATTCCATTTTCGCAGTCGTTCTCTCCACTGTTTTAACTTTGACCTGTTTTAAATTTACCTTAGTCGGATAAATCCAACATCGATGGGATGTTGCCTGCAGGCAGAAATCCTGTACTCGTATTCTCTTATACTCGCCAAAGACGTATATTTTTAGAAATCGTATCTACACGTTACATATTCTTATCGAGTGTAATTAAGTGATATTGCAAGTGCCCGCGGGATATCACTTGTACCCACTCCATCACAGATCAGACTAAATAGACTTTCAATGGACGTACCAAGTTCCTACGTAAATCCGCAGCTCTACTGCTCCGGAGCAGCATGTCGACTCCTCGTCGACGACGAAATCCCCTATCTCGCGTTATACAACACATTGGCGCGTTTATTTACAAACAGGTACGTTATAAGCGATTCTCAGTCTTATGCTGCAGAGGACGAGGTACTCGCAATTGCTTTATAGTCGTCTCGTCAATAGTACAAGAGGAGTGCAAGTGGTGTCCTCTGAGTGTACGCTTGAGAGAAACAATTAAGATTGAATTATGCTTCGCATCAAACCTGTGTATACTCATAAGTACTTAAAAGTCTACCGAAGGTGTATTCTTTATATGTCGTTACGTATGTCGTACTTCACGCGACAGTCGCGTCAGCGCTGTCTCGGACTCTCGCAAACGTACAAAAAGGAAAGAGAACATACATTGAGAGAAAAATGTCAAAGAGATAACAAATATTTATTCGGTGGATACTGATGACATATTTACTTAAATCTAGATTCTTTCATTTTAATAGAATCAACAGATGCTCTTATGAAGGTAGCTACGGTTATAAGATTACGACTTGGAAAGATTTTTTTACTCTGTGTAAAAATATGTATATCGATATAAGTAAGTATATGTTAATAGTACCCACCGAATACAAATATCTCTTTATTATCTGGATATGTTTTTCCTCTCAGTGTGTATATGCGCGTAATCCGTCACCGGAATCACTGTATAAAAGTGGGAATCTAAAAGAACTACATTAAGGTAAGTGGAAGAGACTGTTGACCGGTTATTTAACCATCATGTCTGTCTGCGTGTATGTGTTAACATATGTGGCGACAGCGCGAACAGCAAAAGTCAGTACTATGTGAGCGTCCGTCGTACACGGAAGCTCGAGTGGAAAGAGTTCGATTCGGTAAACCAAGATTCTCTCTCGGCTTCTCTGCTGTCTGTAGACGACGAAGCGTCTGGCAAACAGCGACACAGCGAGACGAGGGAAGACGACTGCATCACTTGAGTTTCTTCCTTTCGTATTTGTTGATCTTGTGAATCGCGGCTTCGTGCAAGAGTATCTTGAGCGCGATGCCGCCGAGGAAGAGCAGCGCGGTGATCAGGAAGATGAAGCCCGGGGTGTACTTGCCGAAGATCGTCAGGTTACACAGGGTGACCACCTGGAAGGCTAACAGCAACGGCACGAGGTACACGGCGACGACCAGGAAGAAGGGGTGTCGCTTGCGGCTCTTCGGCCTCTCAAAGGAGTCGAATTTCGCGGCCGAGCTGGCAAAGTCGGCGATTTGGGTCGCAGGTTCCGCGATCGCTTCTGGCTGTTGTGTACTGATGGACTTTTGCTTGTAAAAATCGTACAATATCGCTTGGCGCAGATTCTCATAGGCGATGAGCAAGCTGAGGATGGTGTCGCGCAGGAAGCGACTGAAGTGGACGTGCACCTTGCGCGATATCGGGTGCGACTTGGAGTTGTCGAAGGAGTACAGGAGATACGGCAGCAGATTGAGATTCTGACAGCAATGGCGGATCTTCTGCATCGACGCGTTTCGGAACAGCATCGGCGGCCCGCTGTAGGTCCCGTCTATCGAAGAGGGAAAAACACGATGACATTATAATCGCAGCATGGGCGGCGCATTGCGCGTGAAATATAATCGCTCGCGCGCCGAAAATAGTCTCATTATGCGATACTGCGATTATGTAATTTGCACGATAAGATCAGGCGAAAGAGAGAAAGCGAGAGATGTTAGTTGACCAAAATATATCATTTTAGAAAACAGACGAATTTTTGATAACACGAACGTCGAGATCGTGGCCTGCTCACCCTTGAACATATCGGAGACACGTCTGACGAGAGTCGGTTTCCCCTTCAACACATCCTTCAGCACATTCTGTTCCTCTATGATTCCTGATATCTGCGACATCTTGGCAAGATTCTCAGGGAGTGCGTTCGCTTTACGTTCGGAAGGCGATCTTCGCGTAGATCACGTCTTCTTGTGAGAGATACACCTGAAAGTAAAACAAGCATTTAGTGATAATTGATCCAACGGCGAATATATCGTGATATATCTCGATGGTCGATCGCGATCGCGTCGCAGTCGGATTAAGTTAAATGCGAGAGGTGTTCCGGACGCGATTGAAACCCGGTCGATTACCGATCGTTTACGGCGACGACGACGGGAACCCTTCGCGAAGATCACCAGCGAGCGTTTCGGCCAGCACTGAAAGATTGACGTTCGCCGTGTCGAAGCTGCATGTGTAAAAAAAAAAGCGTCACAGCCCGATAGCCCTGTCGACCCGAGATTAATCCGCCGATCATAAGAATTTCTGCTGAATACGTGGCTTCGCAATCGCGAGAAATATGCGCGGTGCAGTTTGCCGGATTTTTTTACATGAAGTCGAAATGACGAAATCATTTCAACTTTAACCCTGAACTCCTCGCGCTGATGAGAGTCCTGCTTGTTCCTAAATTACACATAAATCATGTATTTTTGCAATTCACTTTTTTCAATTTCTTCTTTTCTTTCTTTGCTGATATCAAACTTTTTATCAAAAGTATCTTGATCTATCTTTTGTATTTGATATTTCTTATAACGAATGCAAATCTGAAATATTTCGTTCCGTGGCTTATGCAAATCAACGCTGGAAATTTAAATATATACAATAGAGAAGAGGTCATTATATATATTCAAAAGTTCTACACCTGTTTTCCACTTGCATGAATAACTAATTAAAGAGGAATTCAGAATTTTTTAATTTTGATAATTGACCATTGTGGCTAATAAGTTATTCGCAAGAAAAGAGAATTGCTTGCGTTTGTTTTTTTCGCGCAGTAAGCTAAACGAATAGCGACGCGCGCGCATCCTTTCCTTGCTACAAAACGAATTAAAAGCACCGTAACTATCGATGATTCATCTGGGCGGGACCTACAATGAAATTCCCAATGACACAAAATTTGTCTAATAATACTTATAACGCACTTCGTGCAACCAGGATACCAATGCAATTAATCAATCGACTAAAAACAATGATAATAAATATTTACACTTCAAACAATATGACGACAACAAGTACTGTCAATTTATTAATGTCTTCTTCGACATCGAGATATTTTGCATATCACGAGGAAACAATAATTTATTTATAACTGAAAAGTTAGCAGAATTTTCATTGTCAGCTCCTCGTTTTAGCAGCTATTGCCATTTTACTGCCACGTGGTTTAGTCTAACGTAGTTTAGTTCATGTGATAAGGAAGTGACAATTCTGTGATTCATATGCATGATTAAATAATGAAGTTTCGGCAGCTTACAATTTGCCACTTGAATTTACACACTTTGAGTACAATAAGAATTGCTGTCAAATACAAGAAAGTTAAAAGTTGTTAAATACAAGAAAGTTGTTAAATACAAAAAGGTAGATCGGCAACGCGCGAAACCGCGTATCAAAGTTGCATCAACTGTGATGAATACTCCTCCCACGTTTGGAATTTGAAGCTACGACATGAATAGTTAAGCGTGCTGACATTCACTAGCGCGCCGTTAAATTTAGAAACACGACGAGCTATAAAACGCCTGTCCACGATACGCTCCTGACGCGAAGCTTGGTTTCGATCGACCCCGTTCGAACATTAGAACGATGTTGCGCGTTTCGACTAATAAAGCGGAAGTAGGAAACCGAGTAGCACCGAGTACCTCTCGGAGACAAACGTTCTTTGCTCCAGTGCTCACCTTAGTGTTTACTTCGGCGATCGGAGGTCCCCCGGTTGGTTCGCGAGCTTCACAGGGGAATTCACTTGTCTCCTCTATGAGAGATTCCGGCGAGATGGTCGCGAGCTAACTGTACTTCCTGTAGAGATTGAAGACTATGGGAAACTCACGAAATATGCCCATCCTTCGTCGAATCTCGAGCTCTCACACGCGATCAATAGTACAACTCGTGACTGTTTGGAAGAACTGCTGGTGCTGCCGGGCGAGTGTTGTTGAGCCTCCTTGCCTCGTACAGCGACTAACCGGCTTTTGTCGTATGGCGACTAGTTACTACCAAGCACTCATCCACCCCTCCACCTCTACCTCCGGGTGTGAATCTGTGAGCAGAACCGGAGAAGTGGTTAGCCACCGGAACGTGTGCCGAACCAATCAGAGCAGCAACTTCCATCGTTGCCAACGAGGGATTAGTCGGCACCGCTGGTGCCAACGGAAAAAACCAATAAGCGAGAGAACACAGATGTTCCCGCGTGCTTGACGTGAATGTGAAAAAGGTGAATGTGTCGACGACGTGGGAAATGCGTGCACGATTGCCTTGAAGCGTACCTTGTGGCACGCACTTCGGTTTTCTCCTTCTTGAGAGCACGGATCTATGACGCTAAAAACACGTTAATTAAAAGTCGTCATGTATAACCGCTCTTCTTCTCTCTACTTTTTAAAATCAACGTGAGTTACTTCGTAGAAATCAAAGTCTACGATTTTTTATTTCGTGATTTTACGTAACCATAAAAAATTTTTCTAAATCTCATGACTAAAGATTCTACATTGAATTTTCTTAGTATTAATCAACGTATATTCGCGAATAACGAAAGAAAATTTCTGAATATGTATTTATCACGTTGCAGCAATGCACCCAAGATATAAAAGATATGCGCATGTCACATTATTTATATAACTTGTGTACATTTAATTTCACGTATTCGTTATTTACACGATTTTCATGTCAAATTAATCATCGGAATTAGTTTAAATTAATCATCGGAATTTTTATTCCAGCTGAACTTTTCTGTCTGTAATTAAAAAGAGAAAAATAACAGATAACTGGACGAAAATACATAAATCAAATTTCTACGTACATCGCATGAAGTATAGCAATTAAAATTGCATGATCTTTTTTGCGCGCACACATGATTATGATGTATTTACAATCAAGCGAAATGAATATAGCAGATAGTAAAAGTAATTAAAATTTTGATTTATTTAGATATTTAGACACACATAATTAAGATTAGATATTTAAACATAGAATTAAAATAAATAATTTAAATATAACAGTGAACACACACATAAAAGAAAGTAACTTAAGGGAGGCACATATCTTTGTCGCGTCAAAAAGGATTGATTTTTTTTATTAACTTATTAAATTACATATAGTTTAAAAAATCTGTAGTTCAGGGTGCACTAAATTATTCACGAAATTGACGAAGATATGGATAAAAATGTGAGAGTGCACCACTTGCTACGCACCGGGCTCGAGACAATTAACAGCTGGCTGTCTGTTGTGATCTGTTTGCAACCGACCGAAATATAAAATATTCAGTCACATTTATTTTGTTTTAGGTCTCGCCTTTGTTCGTTTCAGGTAGAAAAATCGTAAAAGACTCAAGTTGCAAGAAAAAAAAAATATGATCCAAACTTTTCGTATTGCATTTTGCAATTCACCACCGTTGTTTCAGTAATTTCACGCTGCTCAGTATGTAAATAATGTAGGGGCGAAGTGAAATTTTTGTAATTAAGTATTTGCAAACTTGAATTCAAGTTGAACATTAAATTTGTTATATGTGGATATTAATAATGTATATTCATTATCATAAAATGTGTACATGAAATTAATAGAAATTAACATATGATGTGTTCTTGCAATGCATGATTGATAAAGAATTATGATGAATGCAGTTTTCTTGCAGCATAATGGATTTTCCGAAGTATGTCGTACAGAAATAGCATTTGACGTAATCGTGAAAAATATACATACTGCCGTGAATACTCCAGTATTTATTAAAGCTTCTATATACGATAATATAACACTAAAAAAAAATTAGAATGCATAGGACATATAAAAAAAATGCATTGATATGAGACTTTACAACGTTAAAAAAACGTACAAAGGAGCAGCAAAGATCTCGAAGTCAAAGTCGTAAAACCTTGAAGACAAAGGAAAATTAAAAGTATTATTAATTGATGAATTAACTATTACGGTTTGGCAATTAGATATAATTGTGATTCAGTAGAAAATATGAAGGATGCAATTTTTGAGCTATATTTTATCACAAGATTCGCAAACAACATTCGCCGCAACATATTCAGACAACTATTAAATCTGTGTACGAGGCTCTAAGCAAAGAAGAATTGCTGCAAAAATGTTTAGAAAGTTTTACAAAAAATATTAACGTAAATCTAAATCAGAAAATTTAGAAGATCGCCTCGAAATTAATTATCAGTTATTATTATTATCACTTGGGCAACGTTAATTATCAATTATGAATTCTCGTGACGATAAATTGCAGCTGTTCCCGGATATCTGACGTTAACGGGCGTCCGGAAAACATATGCTAATTTTGCACATCTGGCATATCATTTAATGTCATTAAATTTAAACGTTGCTATTGGCCTTGTTTTTTTAAAATTAAATGCATTTATCGTGCATATTAAATTAAATAAAGTAATTCATCACCAAGCAATTCGAATAACAGATGTCATAACTAATGAGAATAACAAACATCGAAAAAGTTGACAAAAAAAATCTCGGGACATTATGATGCGTTCACATTGTTTGCTCGTGAACAGTTTGCTTGATTAATACCTACAGGTAATTGTCGGTCAAATGATACCCTTACGACGGAAACGAGGTCTATGTATCGCCGGCGGTATTTCTCTATAGTTTGCGGAACAATTACTCGACTCGGGTTTTTATTTTCTTATTTCCAATTAAAACGATCCGTAACATATATTTTATGTATGTATTGACAGTGGAGACTTCAAAATTGTTCAGCAACATTTCTAAAAATTCCGTGTGAATATGTCGCAACAACAGTTTGTCGCAACAACAACTTGTTTGACGCAAATGCCTAAATGTTGCATCATAACAAACAGAAAGTGGTTACAAAGTACATCGAGTATCTAGATACAAATATATCGTGAGGCCGCCTCGTGGACGTCGGGAATCTTGGTGAATCCCATTCTTATGCAACATCCGGTCGTTCTTTCCAATTCGAATATTTCGAATATTTCGAGCAGGAAGACCGGTAGATGGAACCCTTCCTTGAAATCGAAATAAAAGGCGCGACCATGGCGCTGGGATCGAAGACCGTGGAGTCTCAAGGAGATCCTTTCGTAGGATTGATACGTTCATTTCGCTCGTTGACGCACGTGAAGGATATATGATTGCGGGCTGGAAAGAGAGAGAGAGAGAGAGAGAGAGAGAGAGAGAGAGAGAGAGAGAGAACGAAAGAGGTAGATAGAAAGAGGGAGAAACAATGAGAAGAGACAGCGGATAAACGATTTTGCGAGATTTTACGTTATAGGGATATTATCTTTCGCCAAAACGCAATTTGACCATTGCTCTCGCTAGTACGCACAGATTTCGTCAGAGAATAAATATCGATTTCGCTGTAATACTTATCGACTTTGCTCTTTTGATGTGCGTATCGCACATGACATTGGGCGTTCTTCAATGCTGTTTAGGCGGCCAGATTTAGATTGTTACATCATGTAGACATAACATAGTTGCGTTAATGATATTTCTCTTCCTCCGAAAATTGGTCTAATTTATTTGTGAATTGCTGCCGAGATACCGACTATACCGCGGCGAGAATCAATGTGGTTATGGAAATTTCCCGTTATGTTACAAACCTGATAAATGTGACTTATTTTCTCGGACACATAAACAGGATTTTTTTCTAGTATTCTGTCACGCGAGCAAACATCGTTGAAGAAATTTCATGGTGATGAAGTCAATCATAAGATGCGAAAAAAATACGATATGCGACTTGCGTATCGTAAGTTTCAACATACGTTCCACTTCGAGAGAACTCGAATATTTCCTTAAAAATAATGATCACATATGTGTTTGTTTATTTAACGTTATTTATTCGTTGATCGTTTTTTTTCGGCCATAAACAAACACGTGGCAAACATGTGAGCGTGTACAATATTTCACGACGACAGGTGATGTATAACGCAAATCGAATGATGCGTAACCGCTGAAATATAATAAGTGTCTGGAAGTTTTGCTCATCTCGCTCGGTGACGGCGATTCATCATAAAATATCGAAAATACATGCACTCGCCACGTCGACATTTAGTCAAAAACGCGAAGTAGCATCGAAATTGTTAGTCTTCGACAATCGAGCATCGACAACGAAATCCCGAGTGCATCTTTCGGCAGTTTGCAAAAAGAAAATAACAAACAGAAAAGTTAGACGATTAGAAACAGAGAAATTTATTTTTTAATTAAGTAACTTTGGGAATGAGAGATGAGCTGCTTGAGATTGGGAATATTTCCGCGCGCGTCTGGAATGAGCGAATTTTGTTCCTCATCAACATTCCATGCAGCGTCGATGGACTTCCCCTCCACTATTCTCCACTCCTCTATTCTTGTACTTGTAATTTTCCTCCTTTTCGTCGCATCTCCCTGAATCCGGTTGCCGGCGTCGCGGTTCATTGCACAAGTGCAGCGCGGTCGCAAGTTTTTTACGTGTTACATTGATTTTTTTCAGCTGACGTTTGAAATCACAGCCTGCGCAAATGATCAAAGCTCGAAAGTTGAATTTATCGCAATTTGCCGTCGTGTTCAGCACGTGGTGGCAATCATAGCCGGATACATCCCATCGGCGCCCAACGGCCGATAAACCGTCGTTCGTATTCAAATGACGAGTTCAACCTGTATGTTTGACCATAACATTATGTGTACACAAACGCAGGTCGCAGAACAGAGCAATGCATTGTATACTCGACGCTGAGTAAAGAAAGAAGCCGTCCGCCCGAATGAATCATCTAACGAGGGAGAATTAATATTTCCGTCTCGAGGTGCAGGCAAACGCAATCGATATAGGCCACGATCAAATATTCAATTTTATTTTGTCGTAACATCAGATGATATCTCATGTATGTATCTTTTTTCCCAATCAATATTAATTTAAATAAATTTGTTAAAAATCTCGATCCAAGCCTGTCTAATGACAGTTAATTGTAATTATTCAAACAGAGGCAAATTCTTAAATATCCTGTAATAGAAATAAGATCTAAATAATAAGTAAATTAAAAGAGCGAGCTTCCTTTGGTATGACTTGGTAAGGGCCCATGATAACGTCACGTTTACAGCACATGTTTCAATCCCTCGCCTCCGCCAATGGTAACGTCGATCATGGAACGATCACGTGCACGGACCACTCTTGTTCATCCGCAGCACATGTTTAGGTCAAGTTCTTCAGCAGATGATGGACAGCGCTTACACATTTTTCCGACAATTTTACTTCAAGTTACCGTGCAGGTGCTCGCTACGAAGATGAACGTATATTGTTCACCTATAAGATTAATCCTCGCGCTTTCGTAGCCATGAGATTCGTAGCACGTGCCGTTAACTTTGTCTTTAGGAAGAAGCGGAAAATCGACTTTGTCTTTAGGAGAAGCGATCGATATTCTATTAATTTTTCTTGATATTTATAACGAGAAAAAAAGGTACTTAGGCAGGTATAAATCGTTAATGTTGAATATCGTGATCGATGTACTTCAGACTGTTATACAAAAAATAAATTAATATAGAGCATGTTAAGGAGGTGTTTAATCCGTCGATGAAATGAATTATTGACTATTGTATAATCGATTATATCAAAGTTTGCGCAATAATTAATTTCGACAATCGATAAAATTACTGGCGATTTTACACATGATTAATTTTGAGGGTTTTCTTGCCAATTATTTTCGTCGAAGAAGATTTTAATTGATTAATGCTTCCAACACTCGCGAATAGTTCTCTTTGGAGGAATATTTCCTAGATACGATCTAAGGACTCTAAACAGTCGAAATTGGTGCTCTCTTTGACGTTAAAGCCCAAATAAACTACAGTCTAGCGCGCAATGAGCGGCGGAGCGAAAACGAAGAGTCGCGCGCCTGTGCGGCTGAGAAGTCGACGGTAAGTAAAGGACAGCGAACGCGTCTGCCACGATGCGTACATACACACGCAGCACACACGTTGCGCGATTGCTTTTCCTTTTACCGTTCGTCTCGCTCCCACTCATTTGTCCTCTTCCCCTTCGACTCGGCGGTCATTTCGCGCTATCGTGCATTTGATTGACTCAAATGACCGGCTATGAGAGCAAACGGAGGATTTAAAGCGTGAAAAGTGTGCTGCGGCCGCGAGCTACGTAATTGGAAAATTGGAAAACAGCTATTTTATCATGAAGTCACGCCTCGTTATTATTATTCGCGGCTTCGACTGTCCGCATAAAATTGTGTACACATGAGAATTACATAAAATTTACGTAAATAAGAAAAAATATGCATCATGGCATTTATTCTGCAAAATTGTCACTCTAATGATTAAGCAGCAATTATATTAATTTGGTGCACAACTTATGCTTTCCAACGCGCGTTTCTTCAGCGGTCAGGGATTTCGAGACGCCAGCTTCGATAACACGCTATCTCTTGCTATAAACGTGTCCCACAATTACGTGTAAAGCATGAAGTCAAAAGAGTGAAGCGGACGTGATGTTAGAAACGAAGTGATTCCCTACTTTCAAAGTCCATCGTCCACCGATATATGTATACGTGCGTCTCGCGACGTTATTTATTCCGGCAACTACGTGAGTTTTATCACGATGTTACTTTTTTTAAGTGCTTTTGTACAACTGTACAAATATGACGAATGGCGTGCGCCCGGCGACCGACGCCGAGTGTATTTTCTGAATTAGGCGAATTTTTAACGTGTCCAAATGTGCAAACGTTCGCTGCGAACACGACGCAGCGAAATTGGATTCTCGTTATCTCGCGGAAATGCCGGAGAAACTGTCGAGTTGACAGACCGATGATACACATCAATATGTGCACTGATATTTCATCTATCGTACTCGATCGATAGCTCTCTCCCTCTCTCTCTGACTCTGTTTTGTAAAAATCGAAGCGGCGTAATGTGAATCGCGAGCGTCCGACGAGCGTGGATTTGAGGGAGCGACCGAGTGGAAAGTGTACAAACGCAGGATCGTCTCTCAGTTGCTATAAATATTTTTAATTTTTACTTTTCAAAAGCAAAATCACAGCTACATAAGATGTTGTTCGATAATCATTAATATAATAATATAATAATAATATAATAATAATAATAAAATAATAATAAAGAAAAGATAATAATATTAATAATAATAGATAAAATTATATATATAATAGTTTCTTCTTTCTCTTAGATCCGTACAGCAGATACTTTAATACTAATGACCACATACGATAGAATCTCTCTAGCTTTCTTCGAATAACAGTACGTTCTACTGGTATACAACTCCTTCGCTCCGCTCTTGTTTTGCTTTCGTCGTTTCCGGACGATAACCACACATATCTATATATATATATATGTATATATTTTATATTATATAATAATATATATATATAATAATTCCAATTTTATATATATATTATGTATGTAATATAAAGGGGTTCGACATTTATAAGGCAACCATCAAATATCGTTGCTAATAACTCTTCTTCCACCTCCTCCTTTATTTTCCTCCCGAGCTTCAAGCAGAATTCACTCGTCGCGATTATATTTCGATCGAGTAAATCCTCCATTTTCGACCACTACCCTCCTCTCCTCGTCCTCGCACTTTACCTTCCCGGGCATCCCGTCGATTAAACACTAAATAAATATTATACAGATTTTTGTCTATCGACCATGCCTAATCCTCCGTAGTCCCGCAAGTGTCTCTCGACTTAACAATAGTAAAAATGTACTTCGACTTTTACAACGTGGTTTTATGGCACTCGTTTAATGGCTGGGCTCTAGAAGCCTCTCCACGTTCCCGATGCGAACGATATCTTCGATTTCGCGTATACGTTCTTTCGTGTTTTTCCTTCTCTCCTCTTCGTCTCCTCTTTTCTCTGCGCCCTCCGGGATTGGTATCCGCTTCGATATCGCGTTACGTCGCCAATGCGACACACGATATCGGGATTGGCGAGCTTTCTCCGCGATTTTTGCCAAATCGTCGCGTAGAGACGACGCACCGTCGACGTGGACAGGATCGATGACTATCGACTCGCTATGGAATGCTACTATTGTAATATTTAAGAAAAGAAAACTATTAAGAACGTCTATGTAGTCTCTCTGTGTCCTTCGACTCGCGCGTGATCCGAAGGATCTAGGTTCTTCTAGGTTCATCGTGATTATGTCGATGTCACTCGGCTATCTCTGGTTTCGGTACTGTGAAGTGGAAAATCGTAAGGACCGAGTATTATTCGCCAAACGTTATAATTTTCCCGATTATTTCGCGAGCTTCGTGAAAACCGTGTTGTAGCCTTCACAAAACTCCATCGATCTGTTTCATTTCTTTTACCGACTACGGGCCACAATGGATAAGAGACACGTCTTGTTAAAATAAATAGTTCGTTCTCATTATATTACTCAAAACGTCCATATTTTTTGTACAGAGTGTCTTATAATTTTTTACTTCACAGTTATTGCCGCAATATACGCAATCGGCGCTCCTCCTGCTGGAGGAGGACACATCTTTGATGATGAAGCATGACTTCTCCCTTTTTATTACAGTAGTTGGAACAATTAATGGTAGTAGTTTTGATATGTGACGTCTCGCGAGATTTTTCTCCTACCTAAGGTGTCATTCGTGTCTGAAAGATGCCGGATATGAATTTCGATTACGCGCGTGGTGTTTGGGCGGGAAACGGTATCGTTTTACAAATTGACTGCTGACCGATGTTTACGACATAAATTAGAGCACTAGACAGGCGACCATTATCACTCGTTGCGACGCGAGATAGAAGCAAAATGTCGCCATCTTAATTAAGAGCAGACACGTTTGGGTTATGATAATGTTACAAAGTATCAATTTCTCCTTCACGGTGCTGAAGTTCATTCCTTTTACTGTCTGATGCAACTCTGTGAGATTTTTCCACTTTCTGTCGGGATCATTATTAAATCACGTGCTAGCGAAAGCAGACATAACAAGTTATTTTTGCTGACATCCGCGTTTCTTCGTATTATTCGCGCACACATTGTTGACCGTGATTTTAAGGAACTTTCCGCGGAGCGTAAGTTATGTATGGAGCTTTTCTCTCTCGAGATATCTAATTTTACACGCGAAGCATCGGAAAAGGGTTCTCAACGGCGAAGTCAGTGGCGCGAATTAAGAATTAAGCAATTCCTCCCGAATGAGTCGTACATGTTCCATAAAAAATTCTAGAAACGTTAAAATGGTTTTCTAAATCTTGGCGACTGTGCTCGGTGGCGTTTCATCTAGTTCGACACGTATTATTTAAGGCACTAATGTTTTCCAATCTCGCTACGTCTACGACCGTCTCCCAGTCGGCCAACTAAAGTGATCTAGAAAATAATCCCGTCCAAGAAACTCACCGTGTTCGACGATATGGTAATCGCCGAGCACGTTTCCGTTGATTTGTTTCTCTAATCGCGATCGACCGCTATATCGAAATTCACGGCGCTCCGAAATTCGATCATGCCGGCAAGTTGACGGTAGTCATAATGCGATTTCATATTCAAGGCCATCTTAAATTCGTTTTAACACACTGTTAACCATTATTAACCACGAGAAAATTCATGTTCTGCTGGTGCAACATTGTTGACAGCGTATCACACTTGAAAGAAATAAAAATACTTCAAAACATTTCATTACATCAAGAGCTCGATTCTAATAAATTAAATATAAAATAAATCGCTCACTTATAAAAAAAAAGATATTTTGAAAACTTGTATCCATGGAGCTCAATCTTGATAAATTAAACAAATAAAAAAGTTGTGTTCACTTAAAAAAAATTAAAATACTTCAGAACTTTTTGTATGAAATTCGATTTTGATAAATGATATGCAAGTAAAATCACTTTTGTTGAGTGAGTAAAATATCCTTACACTTTATAGAAAAAAATAACAGGAAACAGGAAAAGGAAACAGATATTTAGGCGACGCTGAGAACAATCGGTCTCAACAATGTGATAAAATGCCACAACATTTACTTACGGATTATCTGAAAAATGAGGTTAAGACGATTTGAAATATCAGATCGGACTTTGATTCTACCGTCCGCAAATCTAACGAGGTCTGTGCACGATTGTGCGATTTGATCGTCGATTAGGGCTCGTTTCTTCCGTCACTACGGCTGCAATTACAAGTAACTTCCTACGTTGCGTGTCTGTTTTGTACGTTATTTCGCTAAGGCACGGCCCTACGAAAGTTCGGAGAAAATCCTAAAGGCACCTCTCGCCGAGCAGTCGCGTAATGTTCCTCGTGTGCTACATCTATAGTCATCCGCCTTGAGGAGGAATATGTGTGTTCTGCAATTCTTCGTGCGAGAATCGCGCGCAAACCTCTCCGGATACCCCTTATCGTTCATCCGGCGTCGTTATATATCCCCGTCTGCCTACGCACACGAATCGTGTATTAACTTTGCTCAAGTTTGAAGATAAGAGAATATCGTGATCTTCTGCGCGCACCCGTCTCCGTCCCGTCGTCTGTGAGGTAATAATTGAAACATAGAAGGAAAACGAACCTGCTCTCGATCCGGTAAGGCTGCGCGCGAAAAATGAACTTTGTATTGAATGAAAGCGGACAGAATATCATTGAGCACGCTCTAGGAATACAAGTGCGGGAGATCTGCTTCTCCCGACCAAACGATTCGCGCCACAAAAAATCACAATTCATATATACTATACACACATATATTGAACGGTTTGCGTGATATCGATCAACGGCCGCTGTTCAGAGCACATTTTGAATACGCCTTCTCGTCCGTATCCGGCTTATTATTTTACGAACTTTTCCTTTTCTCGACTTTATGTCGTTCGACGCTCTCATTTTGCCTTCCGCCCTTGTTTCTCGGATACCGCAGTCTAGTTAATTCTCGGTTTATCAATACTGTTTGTCTAACTCTCACCGCGTACCCTCCAATTGCGATTATTCGTCTTGGAAAACGTAGTTCTCTCTTCTCTTCTACTGGGAGTGTTTTCAAGATTACGACGGGCCGTCGTGTCATTGCACAATCAACTCACTCGGTTGCACCGATTAAGCGGATAGTTTGGAATTACTAAAGCGAACGCGCGCGGAAGTTCGTAAGGTTTCACAATGGAACTTCCTAATCGTATGATATGATCGCGGACGCAGTTAAGGCGGGTCAGTTATCATCACGAGAACGCGAATAGCGTTGGAATGGAAACCAGAGATCTTGTTTACATCGCGCGGCGACACGCACGGTAACAATTTGTATCAGTGTCATCGAACAGATAACTGCAGCGTCCCGACGGGCTTTTGTATCGCGTTAGAAAGTGTCATCATGAGATCTCACTGACTCCGGATGCAATTATCAACAGAAAAATCCGCGCAAAGCGATTATTTCGAAAAAGAAAATCTCTGACTCGGCAGATAAGAGTACCGGAAAAATGTTCTTAGTTGTTGCAGCGTTTACTCTTTATCGATTGCGCAATGGAGACGCTCTATTAATACGCCGCCGATATAAATGATGCAATAGGCGTTTATTATGTTCGCGATCAAGACGATATTTTTCCCTTATTTCGCCATTCTTAGCGGTAAAGCTTGAAAGACGCAATATGATGCTTGCATCGATTTCCGCGGCTTCGCAACGCGTAGAAAGAGCCTCAGTCGGATTATCGTGTCATCGAGATCCGCCGTTTCGTATTGTTTACCTTTCCCATGCTCGCCACTCTCCTCCTCGTCGATAACGCATTAGACTATCCTACCATCTAGGACTATCCTACCTAGATCGTCGTAAGGTCTATTCTCACGCGGAGGGTACACAGGATGATACTAACGAAGGAAAATGTACACGGGGGTTACTTTCTCTTTTCTCTCCTATTAAATATTATATAGTTTGTCTTTTTCTCGTGCTAAAACTATGCGATAGGCTTATTTTCGTATTATTGTCTTAGGTGCTACGCCACGTTTCGTTCGCCCCTCGTTGATTCCCGGTTTCCAAGGCATCGGTAGAATTCTATTCTGAGATTCGACTGTATGTGTGTGTACGTGTGTGTGTGTGTGTGTGTGTGTGTGTGTGTGTGTGTGTGTGTGTGTGTGTGTGTGTGTGTGTGTGAACCTTATACAGGCTGAATTTATCTCACGTCCGTGTCCGTTTCCGGAAACTTCTCTGGAAAGACTTCTCGATTACGACCGTAACTCGATTTCTTATCAACGGTTCCCAGTTCTTTAGATCCTAAATACGGAGAGATCGAGTCGTCTCAACAATGTTTCCACGATGTAGCCGCGAGGATCGCGGGCGTACCTTGACTCAGAGTTCTCGATCCATTTTTGTAGTACTTATCCCGAAGGTAATTGTTACTGACTAGCCCCCTACCGGTTGCCGCGAATCGTCCGCAGGAACGACGCCTCGATCGAGGCACTCGAGCGATCTCTTATTCTTCCGCTTTCTCTCTTTCTCTCTCGGGGAATGTCTATAGGGACTAGGAATCTGCCTTATTGGCCCCTTCCGGAGTTTCGCGGACGACTGTTCGACCTCCTGTTTCACGGAACAATTGTCGACGACGATCACCGAGCTGAGACGAAGTCGCTGACTAGCCTCCGGTTCCTTCCTTCCTTTCTCCCTACCTACCTACCAACGGTTCCGCTCGTTTCGACACCTACTCGGAGGAAGGTGGCCGCGCCATTCTCTCGGGGGAATGTCTACAGGGACCAAGGTAATGCTTTATTCGAGCCTGCTGCACGCGGCGCAGGACTTCCACGGGAGATCGTTAGGTGTCCATGTGCCGGTACTTGTGCGCCGACATTTGCGCCAGGCCCAGCACCGCGTACTGGCATTGCAGGCAATGGTAATGCGTCTGCTTGCCGGAGTGTTGGCACTGCACGCCGCCGCACGGTTGACTGGGGGTGAACTTCTGGAAGCCCGCCGCGGCGATGCTGTCCAACTTGGCGTGTTGCCGCCGGTGCGCGACCACCTTGTTCGTGTCCGTGCAGACAAAGTCGCACTTTAGACAATGAAAGTGCGACGCCTTGTTCTGCATTGAGCCGAGAGACGACGTGTACGCGCACTGAGCCCGTCCGCAGGGTACGTTGGCCCGATACTGTTGGAAATCACCCCCCATTAAAGTGTCCAGCCGCTCGTGCCTCGCGGTGTGCTGCACGAAGCGAGTCTTATCGCAGAAGGAGTAACCGCAGTCTTGACGCATGCAATGGAAGTGAGTCTGATGTTCTCTGTAGCCGCAATGGGGGTACCTGCAGTCTTCGTTGAACCTGAACCTATAAAATCCACAATAATCGTCAAATTAATATTGAAATTAACATTGATGAATTAATATTGATGTTTAACAACCTATCAGAGTGGTCAAAGTAATACAGGTTTTTGAAAAAAAATATATTTTTGCTGCTTCTACAAAAAAACATGAGTCCATTTTTAAGAAACTACATCATTTTTAAGAACTACATGAATACACGATGAAAGTTAGCGACTTTAAAATTAAATATATCAGTTTGAAACATTTTTTATTAAAGAGATATTATACGGTACCTGTCATTTTATGACTATAGTCTTAGTGTTAAATGAAATCAATTCATGAGCCAGACACAAGAGCGGCGATACCAACCTAACGTATCCCTCCGGCACTGGTTCGTCCTTCAGCATCCGCATAGAGTGATGGAGTCGTTGCTTCTTCGCTTCGGGCGAGTTAGCATCCGGTGGTGAAAGAGATCTCTTGTTCAGATTGAGATTAGCTGCCAATGACGCTAGGGGATTCTCGTCCCTCGCGGGTGGGAGGAAGTTGGTCGGCGGCAATCCGGGTGCAAACATCAGGCCGGGTCCGCCGGCGTACATGCCGCCGTGCTGAAGAAACGGCGGTAGAGCCTGATTCATGAGAGCGATCTGCTGATTCATAGCGGCCATCACGGCGGGACTGGGAAAGTGGAAGCCGTGGCTGAGATCGAGCTCGAAGCTGGTAGGTACCGACGGTTGCTGCACATTAGGTGGAATCGGTGGCTGCGGCAATTGGCCGTTCTCGTGACTGTCCACCACGGGGTTGTTGCCGTCGTCCCGAGTGCTCTCGGGTGGCTCTCGCTTGACGTTCGGTACGTTCTGCACGCCGATGTCGGTGCCACATCTCGGTTTCTCCAGCTTGATGTCCTTCGATTGGGACGACGACTGTTGGCCGATCTGACCGAGGGTCTGCTGCATCTGTCGCTGCATCTGGTTCTGAAAATTCTGTATGTTCTGCGCCATCTGAGCGTTCTGCGTCATAAAGTCGTGTTTCTGCGACAACTGCGCGATGTAATCGTGCTGCAGCTGATTCGGCGACGGACTGACCACGTCGTGCTGCTGCTGGCTGAGGATAGCACCGGTCGAGTGTTTCGCTATGTGCGCGACCAGACGATCAAGCTCGGAGAAGGCCTGGTTGCACGCGTTGCAGTGGTAGTGATTCTTGCGCTTCAGCTTGCAGAACGGTCTGCTGCAGCTCTGCTCCGGTCCGTAGAGGGTGTGCGGCGAGGTTGAGCTCATCGAGGGCATGACCGGTGATTCTGCAACGTCATAGATTCGTCTGAACCCGGCCCGTGCGTCCTCGCGCGAAACGCGACAAACGCGAGAAACGAAGGAGACCTAGTCCTGGACGTGTACTAACACGGAAACACTCTCAAAAGCACAAAACTTGGTTCAAAAGACACGAACCTTGGTGCACGGAAGCTCGCATGGATAGCACGACGCCCGGAAGTGCGGGTTCGCTCGGCGGTCCGCTGACCGGATAATAGGTGCCAGCCGCCCTCACCACTAGCAACAATCAACCAAACAACCAACACTTCAAATATACCTCCCACTATGAATATACAACCACCGTGTGTGTACAAATATATACATCGGGAGATTGGGACGATTAAATCGGTCTCGCGGGAGACAAACAACGTACGACTGTTGTCGAGGGACAGCGAGGAGTGTTCTACTTCAACAACGAATGCGAGGTGGTGACAAGGTGTGAACGGGGTTGCGACTACGTGCAGAGGAGCATGCACAATGTATATGTATTCTAGTGGAGGAGAGAGTCTCTGTCGTGTTTCTCGAACAAAAAAAAAAAGAATAAACTACCAAACAAAACTCGTCTATGGACTAACACTATATAGGTGGTGCACTCATGAGAACTCATGTCCTCTTGCCCGGTACTTACCGGTGGTCTTGCAGCTATCGGGACTCGCGAGCTCGGACTCCTTGTCATCGATCATCGTCCTGTTGTCCGAGTCTCCCGCGGATAAAGTCTCATCGGGCTTGTCGATTAATTCGGCGGGATTTTTCACTTGAATCCTGGGTTTCGTCTCTTGAACAAACGATTGCGGTTGCGTCTGGCACTCCTGATTGCTCGATTCCTGAGCACAGGACTCGCTGTGACCGGAGTGCTGTTTCTCGTGTAACGCCATCGTCGAGTACCTGACGAATGAGTAGCCGCAGTTCGGTCGGGTGCAGTGGAAGTGCCGATTCACGCGATTGCTGTGACAGCCGGCCAGCCGGCAGTCGACCATCTTGTCGTAGAAGGCGAAACCCGGCGGTATGTCGACGTTGTCGTGAAAGTCCTTGCTGTGCATCAGCAGCTGATCCGGTCGTTCGGTGGAGAAATGGCAGCGCGGTTGCGAGCAGTGATGATGCTTGGTCAATCTGAGAGCACATGCCGTGTCCGGGCATCCCTCTGGATTGTACGTGGCGAATCCATCGGGCTCTCCTAGACTGTTCGAGGGCGACACGCTGCCCTCTCGCTCCTCCAGCAACGAAATGGGCGTCAGACTCGGCGTCTGCGGTTTCGGCAGCTTGAAACTCGTGAAGATCGCTTGCGGTGAGTCGTGGGTGTGCGTGGCGGGGTCGCCTCCCGACCAGATCTCGATCACCCGATTTTTCGGCGGTCTGCCGCGCTTCCGCCTGAACATCGCGTCGATGTTCGTCAGGTGGGTCAACGTGACGTCGGAGGAGAGAGTATGCGAGGAACAGGAGAGATTCAACTGCCGGCTGTACTCGTGAATCTTGTAATGCTGCAGCCTGCGGAACGGCTTGTCGGTGGAGAGTATCACCTCCCGACAGTTCTCCCAATTGCAGTGATAATGCTTCTCCTTGTCCGCGTACGGACAGCTGTCATCGCAGCCGCCCTCCTCGAAGAAAGCGTCCGTTATGCGCTCCTGCGTCTCATGCTCCTTCAGGTGCTCTCGAACTTCACGGGGATCCTTCAAGGTAGCGCCACAACGGTCCAGCCCGCAATGATGGTGCTCCCGACCCGCGTTGCACGCGCATTCCAAACTTGCGGGCATTAGGTAGGCCAATTCGGCGGCGGTCAGTTGTTGGGGCTGCTGATGCTGTTGTTGATCAAGACTAACGGAACTTCCGCTGGCCGTAATGGTGGTGGTCGGGGCGGTGAGGTCCATAGCGAGATCGCTGCCGCTTTGGAAGGAGTCTTCCAAGGAGTAATACGATGGAGAGCCTCTCCCTTCATTGGAGCTCTCGCCGTTCAGACTTAAGGACAAACTCTGAGCGCTCAATTCGTCCGGCGCCCATGACCCCGAGGGACGCATGCCACTTACCGTACTGACTTGCTTGTACTTCCGGTAAGCCAACTCGGACTCGTGGCGCTCGTGTTTCCGCTTGTGCGAGAAGAGCTGGCCGGACGAGTGCAGAACGTAGCTACAATGAGGTCGTATACAGTGAATGTGGTTGCAAACCCGAGAGAACCGGCACTGGTCGAAGGGGCAGGCCTCTGATTTCATGAACTTCTTGAAGCCGTCGCGCGACAGTTGCTCGTCCTTGATGTGGTAAGATTTGTGCTTGTCTGGAAAAAATGAGACGAAGGAAACGATCAAATCATGGTGGTCTGTGAACGCATAGTTATGATACACGTTAGATCACGAATTAATCAACGAAACGACTTGTCAGAGCGTAAAAGTAAAGACAGAAACGTCGAGGTGTGTCTTCTGTGTGAGAAAGAAAGAGAGAGACAATGGTTTCGACGGACGATAGTTTCGACCTAGAGCGCCAACATTAATCACGCATTCCTTACCCATGTCGGCCTTATTCTTGAACGTGAACCGACATCCCTGTCGCCGACAGTGAAAGTGCGTGGTCCGTTGGCCAACGAACGGACAATGTTCGGTCGCGCAATTCTCGGTAGCCCGAAACCGCTGGAAGCCCTCCTGTATGATGGCCGAGTCCTTGCGATGGTAATTCGCGTGCATCTGCACGTCCGATGTCGATATGTACACCTTGTCGCAATTCTCGTGGATGCAATGATAGTGGGTTTGCTTTCTATTGTGCGGACAGGCCCGGCCGGGATGCCTCTCCGAGCAATCGTCCGTCGGCGAGTATCTCATGAAGCCGTGCTGCAAGGACTCGTCCCTCTTCTTGTGCCACTTGAAGTGCCTGATCATCTCCTCCTTCTTCACGAACACCCGGCCGCTGCAGTCCAGACAATGAAAGTGCTCCCTGCAACCCAGTTCCTTACAATACGTACTGCCGCATTCCTGACTCGAGGTGTATCTCCTCACGTATCGGGAGTAATCGATGATCGGCTGCGACACCGATGTCTTTGAGCCACCGATCAAGGAATCCGCCACGGGAGACATGCTCTGTCTGATTAAAGCTGCAACAAGCGAAACAATCTTCCTTATCAAACTGAGACTTTTTCAAAGTTGACGTTTGCAAGGCAGCTATTTGTCACAGAATTTCCTCAAATTTTATAGAGATAAGACCAAAACTTGAAACGTTTTTTCTTCATATACCAAACATTAGAAATAAATAAATTTCAAAATTAAAAATTAAATGAAATAAACTGAAAGTATTGAAACGAATGTTTGCAGTTTTCATTGATCTGGAGTGGACGTAAGTACGCAATTTTAATTTCACGCGCAGAAATACGTTCGATTTCGAAAATCAAAGAGCTGCCCTCGAGTTTTCCATTGGAGAGGCGCGCGCGGCGCTCCGCAGGTCACAAACTGCCATAGAGACCTGCGCGAGGTAAAGCTCGCGCCGGGCGAACAGTTGGTCGGCGGGCAACACGTTTCTCCGCAGGCAACTGCAACGTTTTACCGACCGTATGTCCCCGATAACACCGTTCGCACCAAGCTCTCGCACCATCAGAGGGGACGCGCATACCAGAACGACTTCTGATACATATACGAGAGTTACGAGCGCGCGCACCGTTCGTCGACCTATCGAGCTCTCCCGCGCGTCCGAAAACTGGTTGTTCGGTGCGCACGGGCGCGCCGCGACATAAAGAGAAAACGAAAGAAAAAAAAAGAAAAGAGAGGGGACGAGGAGGAAGAATGGCCGGGGCAAAAAACTATCGGACCGCGATCGCAATACGCGTATGCAAAAAGCGCGCCTGTGGCCGCGGGCGAGGCGGAGGCGCGTGAGCATTTACCTCGGCGAAGCGTTCATAGCTCTCCTAAAAGGCTCGAAACGGCCGCGGCACGCAAGAAAATATTGAGCGCGAGAGACGCAATTCGGTTGACCAATCCTCGCTCGCGATAATTATCTCCCGAGGTAACGCGGCGCACACGAGATGGAAATAAACCGCGCGCGTCCGCCACGCCGTTCTCCTTTTTTGCCTAAACGAACGATATTCTACAGTTAAAGCGTTCTCTCGTGCGGTCTCGCGTTTGCATTTCTTGCAACCGACAGCTACTTAAAATTTATTATTTGCGCGCGTATGTATCGGCGAAACACTCGTCTCGCGTGCACAGCGAATCTCTTCGCGCGGACGTGTGTCACTTCGCGCACACACATGTCAGATCGATACTCGCTGTTGAAAAGAGAGAGGCGCGCGAAATAAATACCCATTGCTCTCCGGACGACGTCGTCGATTGATTGTACCGTGTGATCAAATTAAATTTCATTATATAAGATATGTGAGAGCCGATTAATTAAATTACATCGGTGAGAAACGAGAGAACGAAAGCGTCGTTTCTCATTAACTTATCGGACGCGCGTCGTATCGATCGGAGACTGCGGCGAGTCGATACTCGCTACCCCGTAACATCCATCAAGCCACCCAGCGTTCGATGCACCCTACCAGGACCGTGGACGATTCTGAGAAATTCCTACTCGCGGACTGTGCGCGCGCGCACGTTTGAATGCGCGTTCAGGAACGAGTTTAAAAATTGTCGAATATTTCTCGTGGCTCGCGGGGCTTCCCCGCGCTCTCACTCTCTCTTTCTCTCTCTCTTTCTCTCTCGCTCACGGTGGTATATGTGCCGTCAGAACGGAGGGAGCGCGCGCGTACATTGGCCGCCCGTGCGTTTCTGCGATGCGAGAGCGTATATGCGCGCCACGGCACAAAAAGAGAAAGGGTTTGGTCCAGAGAGAAAGAGGAAGGCCCGAGGAGAGAAGAGAGACAGGGAGACAGAGAGAGAGAGAGAGAGAGAGAGAGAGAGAGAGAGAGAGAGAGAGAGAAAGGCGAAGGGAGAGGGCGGGAGAAAGGGAGAGGGAGAAAGCAGAGGAAAAGAGAGATGAAGGTTACGCGAGAGGGAAAAAGGAGGCGAGGGAGAATTCGGCGCGCATTATTCTCCCGCGTTATAACCGGCGAAGCGTAGACGGTACATAAGGATGAAGGAAAAAGAAAACAGATAAAGAAAGAAAAAAAGAAACCAAAGAGAGAGGGAGATAGAAGAGTGGTGCGCGGGCATGTCTTGTATTATTATTTCCACGCGGGCCGGACGCTCACCAGGCGAAATCGAGCAACGACGGCGGATTTAATAATAAGCGTCGCGGTGTCACCGGATATGTTGCACCCAGTTACGCGCGGTTGCGTAACATTCGGTTACGGCGATTAATTTATCCTTTGGCAGAGTAATTACGCAACGCAGCTGCGTGCCTTCTCTCCCGTGCGATGCGTGTGTACGCGGCGCGTCGCTCATTAGAGGCACCTTTGGCTTTCGCGCAGCGGGAAATTGTTGTTTGCACAAATTTATAATCCGCTACCGCCGTCGTTGCCGCTCTGTGACGGGGTCGCAACTTCGAGTGCGTAATCGAGAGGAGGCTCCTCTCGCGCGGGCCAAGGTCTCTACGTCTCGTTGTCGTATTAATCGAGGATAAATATTAAACGGTTAACTTTCGGAGCAGAAGATGGCGTGCCCACGAGCGGCTTTGGCCAACTCCTCCGTATCCAGGAATGTCGAACCTTTCGTCGACGCCTAATTATGCGAACGGGGAAGCGTGCCAAAATCGTGATGGCACGTAAGTGAAACACACATGCCGCGGCCTTGAAACGTCACGAAAAAACAAGCTGATCGATTTGCAATCTCGGTGCAGGATGCACGACGTAGTGCGACGAAATCAAGGCATTATCGAGCAGGATGAAAGTCATACGCGTCATCGACGGCTGCTTAGTTCATTCATTTGATTTGTGGGATCGAACGCGATTTCGACAGAGTAGTGTGAGTCGTTTCACCCAAAATCCTGTTCTGCCGCGGAAATTCGACTACGAAAGCTTGTCTTGCGCTTTCTTAAATCAATTATTACGTTACATAAAAAAAGAACAAGAAGATCCGCGCGCTCCCCTTCCACGTGACGGACGAAGGAGATACCACCCACGTGGTAACGCGCAATTCGGCCAGCGGCAGCGAACGAAGAATACGCGCGACGTGACGGGGCTTAAAGAGCAAATCTTAAAAAATATGTGAAACCCCCAGGACGACACGTAGCAACACTCCCTTCCCCTTTCGTATCCAGGCGGCTTTGAACCCTTTTATTCGTAGTTCTTAAAGCTGCTCGGGAAAGGGAGTGGGAGCCCTGGCCGAATCGCGGCGAGGTGGAAGCGGGGACAGCCTCCGCGAGACAGGGGAAGGGAGTTTAAAATTTTCAAAAAGGCCCGAACCTGAAAAGACCCCGTATTTCAGGGTCGCCAGGGTTCTCCTTTTTTTATCATTTAATCCGTGAGCCAGGCGAATAACCCTTTATACGAGCTATCGGGGTACCGTGCCGAAAACGGCTGCTCCGTCGCGCGTTTACGTGTATACCGATCTCTCTTTCTCTCTCTCTTCTTCTCTCTCTTTCTCCCCCCCCCCTTCCCCGCCCCCTGCGTACACACGTGTGTATGCGTGTATGCGTGTACTTACACGTGCGCTCACACGTACGTTTAACACGCTAACACGGAGGGGTTAATATGACCTACGAAACTGCGTGTTTGGATAATGCGTGGAGTACCCGCTGCGCCCACCGATTCGTCGTCTTAGCCGTGGCGACCCCCATTGAACGCTTTTTCTTCTCGAGAGGTTCTAAATACCGGTGAAAAAAAAAAGAAATACGTGAACGGGTACGCAGTACCGGGCGTGCCCTCTTCCGTGCGTTGCCTGCCCCTTTAGACCCGGTTTTAGGCTCGCGCAACCCTTCCTCGATGGTCCTCGTCGCGACATTGTTTCCGGAAAAATGGCTTCGCGAATGGAACCGCCGACCAGATGCGATTTAATGACCCAGAATCAACGTTAGGGTACTCGATACCGATAGGGTACCCGGAACGGGTATTTTTATCGTGTGTAGCCAATGCACAAAGGCCAATTTCGTTTTCGTTTTCAACATGCAACGGTCGCAATAATACGTCTGCTGCTTTCAACAAAATAATCAAATATCCAGAACCTCTCTACCAAAAAAAATCTCGAGATGTCTAGACCTATTTCTTTGACAAGATTATAGAAAATGCACGGAAGAAATGTTTGGTTGAATTAGCCAAAAATTTCTAGTGAAGTATAAACAAATCAGAAAATTCCACTTGAAGTTTATAAAAATTTTATTAACTTGAACAGAATTCTGATAACTTTAACCGGAATTTGTGGCTTCACTCGTATTTTACCAGAAATTTGGTTAATCAAAATAAATTTCTTTTTGTGTAGGAGAACGTAAGATCGCGCGTGTGTTGGAAAACGATGCGCGAAATTCAACAATACGTCGTCGCTCATATTTGCTTGCATCGATACCGATCATTTGTATTAATAAAAGTCAGCCAGCGACCATTGGGAATGATGGATTTCTAGCGTCGAATTCGAACGTGAGCCAGGAGTATGTCGGCGCCAGTATTAGCGAAGAGTCACACAAAGGGTGAACACGGGAAAGAGCGGGTTGAGGCGAGGGCAGCAGAGAGGCGAGACGGAGAGACAGAGAGAAAGAGTGAGAGTGAGAGAGAGCCGAGAGAGAGAGAAAAGGAGAAAGTGAGTGGAAAGAGGAAGAGCGACCGACACTAAACTATTCTAAGATCCGCGAGAGAGTGTCGCGAACTTATTGTCTCTCTCTCGGCGAACGAGGCGGCGTTATTTCTGTCAAAATTACGTTATGGTCGCTATTCTCCTGCCCCGCACGTATCCCGCTGCTATCCGCGTTTAGCACCTACTTCCTTTCCGCATGGTTACTCAAGTCGAAAGTTTGGTTCCACATTAATTCTACAAATTCACTTAAATGACTGTAGTCATCGGTAGTGTGAAAGGATTAAATATCTTAGAAGCTGATGAAATATTATACAGTCCTATATGAAGCAATCAATTCTAACAATACAACGAATTTACTAAAAGTCACACTTAAATTTTTATATTACATTTTGCATAATACATTATTTACATAATACATTTCGAGCGAATTTTGATTATTTTTTTC